TTACCATGAACTTTACAATGTCACCAGCAAAGTAAGTCTGTCCTTCGAATGATGTGCCACCGCGTAAAGTAACCTGAACCGAAGTGGAATCTTCAGTACCAATGACGGCAAACTGTGACGAGATCAAAGGCGCAGCCGTAACCACTACGTACTGCTGACCAAGGCTATTTACGGGTATACCAAGAAAGCCGTCGGTTGTAGTTCGCTGGTTTAGAAATCCGTGCACTGATATCTCATTTGAAGCAACGATCTCAATGGCTTTCAGGCTACGCTCACTGCCCAACATCGTGAACTCATCGGGGATGTCAGTCTGTTGAGATCCCCTAGGCTGAAGGATCAGGTCTTCAGTGAACGGTGACCCATCTATCTGAAAGTTGCTGCTCATGTTGACCGTTGTCAGCTGATCACTCATTGTCGATATGAAAATAGATGGCCGCCTGGTGTTTTGGTATACAACTAGGTTATCAGTGAAACCAATGATAAAGTGTTTACCTTGAGTTTTTCCCGAGCACTGCGCAACAGCTGACGCTGGTTTCTCGGGAATGGCGAAGAACAAGACTACCACACACAAGATGTGATGTGCCAATGAATGATCCATACTATAAAGCAAAATTAGAAATTGAAGAGAAAAATCTTCAGAAATCAAAGTAGACCTATACAGTGTATTTAAGCAATCTGTAAAAATATTTTATACCTAACTGTATAGTTCTGTGGTAGTCAATATCAATGCTTGCATGCATTTAGTGACTTGCAGATACGATATTCGTGTGTTAAAATATTGCACGCTGGGGGGGGGGGGGGGGATGGTGTCCGACCTCTCCCCCCCCCCCCCCCCCCCCCCCCTCCTGCATACGGGCATTATGCAGTAAATATGGCTTGTTGAGGCAGCTTGTTTTTGTTCTTCGATTTCATTGCCATGAAATGACTGAGAATATTACTAATAGGATCACGGTCCATCGAAAGGTTATATTCAAAATATCGGTACCCATTTATACCACTACAGGAACGAGACAAGTGGGGTAAATTGGCTTGCCCAAGTAAATGATGAATTATTATCAGCAGTTAAGATCTTGGACGTAATTGTGGGCTTTTCACAATTTTATTTAATATTCACCAAACGCTGATAAAAATTGATAAAAGTAAAAAATGTAAAAGTTATAAACTTGAACACTGTCAATCAAAATGGCTTCATCTGAAAGGCAATTCACTAGATTTTCATTGATATCTTATTTGCATCTCTTCAGTCAAGGATGACAGAGTACACAATTGATTTCGAAACAAAGGCCAATAAACCCCTGTTTCTAAGTTTGCAGAAGGAGTAGTGAGTTACATTTGTAAGCTGTCAGCTGTGAATTGAGCTGTCAAAAAGAATGTGCATTCGCAGTGGATTATTTATTGAAGTGAATTATTTATTGAATGTTAGTAAGACATTCTTAAAGTGTTTGAGTATAAATGGAATAATCGTGTTTCATGATTAAATCAATCATTTCAAAGTTTCGATGTTATGTAGTCATGATTAAAATAACAACTACACATAGGCCTACCTATTGCAAAAATGTACTCAAAACATAGCTTGGGCGTTGCCCAACTTGGCATGGCTTTGGCTATGCCCAGTTGAAGCTGTTTTTAACATTTTTGAAATTGGATTGCTAGTTTGTGATGAAAACAAAATCCTTGGAATGATTAATTATAAATCTCCTATTAACGCACTGTCCGCAGCAGCGACAGCGCATTCATTATATAGTTTAACTCACCACTTCTTCAGAAAACTTGGAAACAGGGTTTATTGGCCTCTGTTTTGAAATCAACAGTGGTGCTCAGTCATACATGACTGAAGAGATGCAAATAAGATATCATTGAAAAGCTACAATGAACTACCCTTTAAGGTGGAGCCACTGTGACAGTTTCAAGTTTATAACTTTTACATATTAACCCAATTTTTTGGATTACCTTCATGATTTTGATGCACACTGTAGATGTACATGTACATGTAGTGCAATTTACTCGGGTGAGAGGGACAAAATGTTAGGTGAAGAAAGTTCTGGATACTTCGCGCTGAAGTTTCACTTTGAACTGCCTTGGAATGGACAAAATAGGTATGGTTGCGAGGACCAGGACAGTGAACGTGGATTCATCGAAAATCAAATTCATACCATCTTTCAACAATCTATTAGTCCGATATTAATCCTGTTAGTTTCACGGTAAGCTAAATAATTCGCATTACCTGTTTGTTGATTGTCACGTCTGCTCTGATTACGTCTTGGTGGATGTCTGTAAGCCAGATTGAACTTCCTAGTGACCCATCGGTATACCTGCAATAAACTTAAATCACATGCAGGTGGGAATTGATGGCACGTGATGGTACACAAAGCCTTTAGAAAACGTAGTTTATCAAAGGCTGTATTATTGTTATTGGCTAAATGACCTCAAATGAACATCAACAACACTGAAAAATTCCTGGCTATACGCCACTGATCCACAATAACTGCCACAGCGTATCTCATATTCTTTGTTCGTGATTAGGAAAAAAAGGGAGAAAGAAAAAAGTTTGACCTAGGTTTATCACGAACAACAACTGCGCTGGATTTTGAGTGCCCAGGTCAAGGCAGTCGTCGATTGTGTCCGTCATGGTGTCTGAATTTTATAGCACGATTCGAATTGTATAGCGGAAAAGTTCTTTTTCTTTTCAGAATCGAGGCCCCATGAAACCTTGTCGCCCCCCAGTCGCCCCCCCCCCCCCCACACTGAGATTTTGAGTTTCTAAAAAAATTATCATTGATCTACATGACGCCCCCCATGAAATGTTCCAGCCCCCCCCCCCCCCCCCCCCCCACTAAAAAATTACTGGCTATACGCCACTGATCCACAATAATTGCCACAGCGTATCTCATATTCTTTGTTCGTGATTTGGAAAAAAAGGGAGAAAGAAAAAAGTTTGACCTAGGTTTATCACGAACAATAACTGCGCTGGATTTTGAGTGCCCAGGTCAAGGCGCAGTCGTAGATTGTGTCCGTCATGGTGTCTGAATTTTATAGCACGATTCGAATTTTATAGCAGGTACCAGCATTTCAAAGGGCTAGGGGTTACCAAGGGCGATTCCGCAACGTATCTCAAACGCCTTGGAGAGTTGTGAGTATTTCAAAAGAAATTGGAAGTATACGTGTAATTATCACTCAGGTCTAAGGGCCTTATTCACGGTCAGCCATATTAGATTGAGAGAGGGGTACAATCTTCACTTTTGGAACTTGTGTATATAGAGAAATGAAAGCAATGACGTTTCAAACTAATGCTAGTCTGCTCTGATGAATAATGTAAAAAATTGTGATTAAACACACCTGAATGTTTTAAGCCACATTTAAACAAATAATAAAAGTGAAGCTATAGTGAATAAATATAGTCTGGCACCATAATGACCATCCCATTCAACAGTTCACAATTTATGAAATACATTCAGGATGCACCCCTGTATTAACATTCCCATAGGCACCAGTGGTAAATGTCCATACTTCAAAATTCTTTTTAAAATATTCAGAACTCTCACAGGTATTTAAGCTGCACAAAAATAATGATTAACATGTTATCTTTTTATTTTATTTTCATTTTTGGGTGGGTTGACTATTGACTTTAAAGAAGACGACCCCTAATTTTCAAAAAAAAAACCCAACATCATGGCTCAATAGCGGGGGCCGTATCATAAGTCCGACGCCTCATAGGTCCGACGCCTCATAAGTCCGAAATTTCGGACTTATAAGGCACACAATATGTTTATTCCTTCTCATAGGTCCGACGCCTCATAAGTCCGATGTCGGAAAAACGAAGCGTACGAGGCGTCGGAGCTATGAGGCGTCGGACTTATGAGGCGTCGGACTTATGAGGCGTCGGACCTATGAGGCGTCGGACTTATGGGCCTTTACTTGGTTGCTAGGGGGATGATATTTTGTCGGACTTATGAGGCGTCGGACGTATGAGGCGTCGGACTTATGAGTGGACCCCTAGCGCCACTTTCTTCAGTCGAGCCCAATTGCATCCAAAATGCTCCGAGTTGGAAGCCCGAAGTCCGGGCCAGAGGTTCATTGCCATATAATTATCTTCAATTCCCCAATTGTATGGCTCTCAGAACTCTCTAATATAGAATAATTTTGAGAGTATAACTTTTATTCATGAGCTCGGCTTGGGTTTCGGCCTATTTCCCGGTGTGCACCCTTGCACTGCAATTTCCTTAAATTATACCTTTGTCATTCTTTATCGGTTCCTGTCAATATGAAAATATCATGGCAAAATATTGGACGAGATTTCAGTTGAATGCAAAGTTTTTATCTTGAGTTACAAAAACCTTTGTTTACATCTGGAATGGACAGAATTAAGTCGGCGCGCGGTTTTATTATATGTCTATGGCGGTGAGCCGTGTTATCGCGCCCTCTTTTGTAAGAAATTGATGACGATTTAAATCCAGAGGCCAGAGGTTCATTGCCATATAATTATCTTCGTTTTGTTCTTAGGTTTTAATGCTAATGTGCTTGTATTTTTATTATTTAATTATTAATATTATCTTCAAGTAAACTTGAATCCTCGATCCTGATTAGTTGATCCATGGCAACAAGCCATGGATCGACCAATCAGGATCGAGGATTCAAGTTTACTTGAAGATAATACTAAATGTATACCATTAGGGAATTATCGTCAGTTCTACGATAATCGGCCTGGAGACACCGGTCATTATGGAGACACATCATCTCCCGAATGGCACAACCCCCCTTTAAGACTAATTAAGAGGCAAAATGTTAATATCGCATCGCGCAATTAAGTTGTACTTGTTGCTCGTGGTCTCATTAGTAAACATACTGAAATTCGTGGAAAAAAGGACAAGGGAATATTGGGTTTGGGTACATTTAAGTTTGAAACTTCCCATGGGGGGGGGGGGGGGGGGCGGAAAACATCAACATACGACTACTAGAGTCGAGTAATGGCAATCTAAACAACAGAGGGCGTCGCGTCTGATGATCGATATGATATGATGCATGCGATCGAGATCGAAAACACAGAATCGACAAAATGGCGACTCCTGGCGGAATGATGAACAAGAAAAAGAAAGATTTCCTCGGTGTTTCAGCTCCTCTTGGTTACGTTCCTGGCTTGGGACGAGGGTAAGGAGATTTGCAGTAATGTCAACTTTCATGACACTGCAAAACACTAAAGTACACGATTCGCGTTTATACAACAAACATACAAATGAAAATGTTGAAGGTGTTGTCCGGAAATTGGGCACAAACTGATCGGGCAAAGTTTTGCAAACGTGGCACTTAAATCCCTACGAGGAAAGATTTCCATATACGAAGTTCACTAATTGTCCTCTGTATTGACTAACAAGCCCCCAGATAGCAATTTCATGTCATCAAAGTCAATTTGAGCAGTGAGAAAATACAAGCATTTTCTTAGAAAACACTTGGAATTTTCCAGCCAATCTCATAGCATGCATAGGGTTTGTACACAGGGTGTTGAGTGAACTTCGTATATGGAAATCTTTCCGACTTGACAAACCGGACATGAAAAAACCATGCAAGTGCAGTGGTCTCCATATTTGAATAACAACAGGAAATTAATAAGATGGAATTTTGCGTGTCAGGGTGATGTAGGCCTATTAGGTTTTGCCCTTCACCGACGTATAAACACTGTATCTAAAATAACTGTTAGCTCAGTGGTCCAGTGGTGAGACATCTGCACTGTTAGTCGTGGTTAAAGTCCCACCCGAGTGATTTTTCCAACTTTCAGTTTCACTCGGGAGGTAACACACTGAGTATACATTGTGTATTATACGTTGGTGAAGGGCAAATCCTAATTTGATGAACAACAGGAAAGTTGTAGACTTTGTAAGCAATCGCCGCTAGAGTAATTTTTTATTGCTTGCTCGGTCCTCCCCCCCCAAAAAAAACTTTTACAAGCATTACTATAAATCTCAATGTTACTTATTGTCATTGACTTTAATTCCCTTTTTATTCATTTATTCATTCATTCATTTATTCCTTTGTTGTTTTTAATTCATTTCTCCGTGTATTCGTCTTTTTAATGTTTTTTTTTGGCATCAATGAAAATACGGCTCGCATTTTACCCTCGATATCCTATAATTCACGTGTAAATTCACGTAAGTGTCATGCACATTTACCTACTTGTCGTAAGCAGGGCCCTTCCCCATAGCCCAATTTGTTGACGTCATCGTGTTTCACAGGTCACCGTACAAATATATACAGTGTCATACAGTATCTGCCCCCTCTAGTATCTGTGATCATATTCACCATGGAAGACACTTACCAGTACCCGGTTGATATCGTGAAGACCATCACAAGACCATCACAAGACCATCACAAGCCCAACACAAGACCATCACAAGACCATCACAAGACCATCACAAGCCCAACATAAGACCATCACAAGCCCAACACAAGCCCAACACAAGACCATCACAAGCCCATCACAAGACCATCACAAGCCCAACACAAGACCATCACAAGACCATCACAAGACCATCACACGACCATCACAAGCCCAACACAAACCCAACACTAGACCATCACAAGCCCATCACAAGAATATCACAATAAGACCATCACAAGCCCAAGCCCTGACATAGTAGGTCTTGGAAAGAGTGCTACAGTACTCTGACATCACATGACCTTCCGGGTTGATTTTTGTAATTCGTCTTTTCTTTTGCAGAGCCACTGGTTTCACTACACGGTCTGATATTGGGCCTGCGAGAGAAGCCAATGACATCAGGTATGTGCACATACAATTTGAGCCTGCATATTTACATGTACTGATGTAGGACTAAACTGTGGTGATATTCTTAAGGATTTTTCCTGATTTCAGTTTTTTCATAAGAATTTTTCCCTGTCTTTTGGATTTGTAAAGAGTTCCCCTGTAAATCTTGAATTCCTAAGTTTCTGCAACCCTTTACAATGTAACTGTATGTTTTGTATGATTCTTTTGGAGTGAGTACTTGACTACTAAACTGATAATGCTTATGGGGTCAGGCATACCACCATAATCAGAGTCCAACAGTTTGGGTGTTGAGTTGACCATATGGTGTTGATTTTGTAAGAGTGAGGAAGGTTCCTAGTAAAATCACTCAAGGGGTCAAAGGGTTAAATTCTTTTTACAGCAGTTCCTTAGACTATTGTATGGTCCATCTTTTCAAAAAGTTGGGAATGTACTAAAGAAGCTTATAAATAAATATGTATGCTTAAAAAATAAATCCATTGGTTTCACCCCTTTGGTGCAAAAAAGGGAAAGATTTTTTTTAAGGGGGGGGGATTTAAATGAGTCCTCAACCATGCCCTTTCACTACTCAGGAACTCATCTTTGCCTTTGAAAACTTGAAATCAGCCGTTTCTGTCTTGTTTTGTTGTTGACAGTGATGACAGACATCCAGCTCCGAAAAAGAAGAAGAAAGACGACGACGATGAAGAAGAAGATCTGAATGATAATAACTATGATGAGGTGGGTTAGGGGGAGAACAGTTTGAATTGCAGCTTAAAAAGTCCTGCAAAATCAGTCGCTGACTGTTCTGTGTTGTCGCAAGGTCAGCCTGAGGTGGCCTTAGGATTGTGGTCAGATTAACCCAAATATGGGACCTTGTAAGTGAAGACTGCTATTTTGCACTGCTTTCAGGGACTGTAGGAAAAGGTAGGAAAAAAGCGGTTCGCAATTTATAGAATGACCCACTTACATGTACATTTAGCTATAGTACTGTAGTATTGTTAGAGTTTGGCTGACTTGTTTTTCTCAGTTTGCTGGCTACGGAGGCAGTCTGTTCAACACTGGACCCTATGAGAAAGATGATGAGGAGGCTGATGCTATCTATGAAGCCATTGATAAACGCATGGATGAAAAACGCAAAGAAAGAAGGTACTCAATCAGAATTGTCACCTGTTCTTTGAGGAATCAGTTTCTGTAGAAGACAATTCTAGCACCTGTCAATTCCAAAAAACCATTTAACAATCGTTGACTGCAGTGGTGTTTGATGTGGTGTTTTAAACACTCAAAGAGCACACAGTCTGTGCGTCCCGAGGGGATTAAATATGACATATCCCACATCACAGCAATCAACAATTGCCTTATTATAACCTGCCAATTAGTCAGACAGATTATATGAGACTGAGCAGACTGATTCAGTTCTAAGGCCAGGTCCCAATTACATTGCTGTGGCTGAAAATGTGTGTCAAAGCCAAGTAATTCAAACGTGGCCTTATAAGTCTTGAGAGGTGCATCTCAGAACAGCGCAATGCACAGCTTGCAATATGGACTATGGTATAGGTGGAGGCGGGCTGACATCATCTCATAAAAACAATGTTTCGTTTGCGCACCAATTTTCATCGTTTTTTTTCTGGATGTCAATCAATTTCTGGATGTCCGCGTTCACCTATATGGGATAATATCACACTGTTGTTATCAAGGATCGACCAATCAGCATTAACCTAGTTGAGCGGCTTTAGACCATAATTTTTATTTGTATTTATCGTACTGAAAACTCCTCCAATTCAATATCTTCCTCAGGGAAAAGCGATTCAGAGAAGAGATTGAAAAGTATCGTCAGGAGAGACCAAAGATTCAACAGCAATTCTCTGATCTAAAGGTAAGATAACAAAGCCTTAGACTCCATGTGATAATGAAATGTGGCACTGTGTTACCTAACGAGCACGTCACGGACACTTGGCCTGTTCACATGCACTGCTTTGTTTAAAATACAAATAGATTTTTCATCTTAGAGGTTTAGATTCATGCCATCTGGTTTTTGTTTTGTGTACAAACAGCCCGCTTTGCAAGCAGACTGGCTCCCAGTCCATACATTATCAATACTGATTGTGGGGCAGGAACCAGCCAACCCCAAGATAATGGGAGTTATTGTGTGGCAGTTAATAATTTTAGACGTGGAAGCTATTTTGGGATGAAACTTGTAAAGCATGGGGAATATATCTTTAATCAGGTATCGTTGTTGATTAGCCCAGTCACGGACGTTACACTTCCTTTCATAACTCTGGAATTACCTTTATGTTTGTTAATGCTAATACTTACGTAAAAAGCAATGGTGTTTTCCCCTGTGATTTATGTTTCAGAGGGAATTGTCAGAGGTGAGTGAAGATGACTGGCTGAATATCCCTGAAGTAGGAGACGCTCGCAACAAGCACCAGAGAAACCCCAGAGCTGACAAGTAAGACTTCATCCATTTCTTCATCTTACCTTGTTTCCCTGTTTTCCATCATCATCTGGGTCTTCTTGGTAAGAAGTGATAAAATACCCAACCATTCTCCCCCTCTAACCCATGTATGAGATCTATGCATAGGATCCAAGCAATTGTAAGGCATCAAATTGAGTTTGTCCCCTTCTTAATTTGCATCCTCTACAAAACCACAAAGCAGTTCATTGAATGTTGGTCCAATCACCTTCTCTTCAGGTTTTGGGTAATCCCTTGCCCCCCAAAAGGTCCAAGAGACTAAATGTGTAGTTAGAAGAATACAACAGCACAATGTATAGCCTTCACAATACAGTGCAAGAACATACAGTCTGATGGGGTGTCACTTTTGAGATCAACATGAACTATTTCGTGGGGTCTTTCCATGCTTGTGTTGTTTCTTTTTAGGAAAAGTTACGATGCAAAAATGAAGGATATTGAAAAAAAAAAGAGAAACTTTAGACTAGGGTTTATTCTACCCTTTGGCACTTTGCTAGGACCATGCATTAAGCTTGCAGAATCAAACACATAGAGTGAACACCATGTCTCATGTTATTGCGCACTGCCTATCTCTGCCATTATTTGTTTCTTATCATTGTTTAATGAAGTGTTGTCTTTCTCTCCTTTGCTGAACAGGATCACCCCTATGCCCGACACCTTCTTACAGAAGCATGCCATGAGCAGCGAGACCATGACCAAGCTAGATGCCAGACAGCAGGCCCTGGGTGGGATAGCTACCCCCTTCCCTGGAGCTATGACTCCTGGTATGCTGACACCCACGGGAGAGTATGATCTTAGAAAGATAGGAGAGGCTAGGAATACGCTCATGGATGTCAAACTTAACCAGGTCAGTCTCATTCGGATTTTATTGGACTCTCACTTCTACTCCAACTTCTTCTACAAAACTTCATGAATCTCTTGATTGCCTGTTTGGTCTTGTTTCACTTGGCAGCTAATCAAATGTGTATGCTAAAATTCTAAACACATTCACCTAAGAGGAATGCATCTGGGCTTTCGATCTGAGAAATTTTCCATTAATATTTGAGAGCAAATTTCAAAATAAACTGTCGGTGATTGTCACAGAATTGAACATTTTTGCCTTTGACTTTTTTGTGTAAAGTGTGATGTGTGATTAACAGAACTCAAAGAAAACCGTCCACGTACCATGTGAGCCTTTTGTGTGTGTCTTGACAATCATTGGATTAAAAAAGGAATGTGCATTACAGCAAACAAGTTTAGTTTGAAAGTTAAAAAAATCAAACGTAACGTCATAGCTCTAGTAGATGTACTTGGCTACTCAATTTTTGCATTTAACTACAGCGAGCTCAGTTTCGCACAAAGTTCAGAGTGGTACCTATGCCCCTCACCATGTAAACATAATGCCATTGTTAATCTTTGAACCCAGGTGTCTGACTCAGTCAGTGGTCAGACAGTGGTTGACCCCAAGGGTTACCTGACTGACCTTCAGAGTATGCTGCCGTCCTATGCTGGGGATGTCGCTGATGTCAAGAAAGCTAGACTCCTCCTGAAATCAGTCCGAGAGACCAACCCTAACCATCCCCCAGGTCAGTATGAAGAGGTTATCCTTTATGGCTAAGGACTTGGAACAAAATGTTTTGTTCCAAGTTCCAAGTTTTGCTTTAACTCCATTGATTGGCCCCTGCTAGAGGTGTTGAGGTCACAGGCTAACAGCAGGTTTTTTTTGTATTTTATATTTGTTTGTGGACAGCTTGGATAGCCTCAGCTCGTCTTGAAGAAGTGACAGGCAAGTTACAGGCAGCCAGGAATATTATCATGAGAGGATCGGAGGTCTGTCCACGCAGTGAAGACGTGTGGCTGGAAGCTGCTAGATTACAGGTACAGTCATTACTACAATGTATATGAAGACATGTCAGTCACAAGTACATCACGTCAGTCACAAGTCCATCACATGTCAGTCACAAGTCCATCACATGTCAATAACAAGTCCATCACAAGTCATCTCAAGTCCATCACATATCAATAACAAGTCCATCACAAGTCATCTCAAGTCCATCACATATCAATAACAAGTCCATCACAATCATCACAAGTCCATCACATGTCAATAACAAGTCTATCACATGTCAATCACAAGTCCATCACATGTCAATAACAAGTCCATCACAAGTCATCACAAGTCCATCACATGTCAATCACAAGTCCATCACAAGTCCATCACATGTCATATTCAAAATAATGGACTGTGACAAAGGCATTCCTTTGAAAATTATTAATTTCCTGTTACTTGTAACCAGACTTTTCAATTGATTTGACTTCAACATGGGTGTGTTCCGCACACAGGAGATCATGTGAGTGGCCATACACTCCACCATTTACATGTACAGTACATCAACTGCTTTGTTCAGATTGGGTACTCTTCAACTTCTAGATAAGTTTTCATCTTTCTTTTTTTCTCGCAGCCTGGAGACACTGCTAAGGCTGTGATAGCCCAAGCCGTCAGACATTTACCCAACTCAGTCAAGATATGGATCAGAGCATCAGACTTGGAGTCTGAGACTAGAACCAAGAGAAAGGTCTTCAGAAAAGGTACAGGATGCTTCTTCGATCGTTCCCTTGAAAAATTGGCATTCCTACTGTAAGTATGGATAATGCTTTCTCAAATTTAAATTCCACCACAATGAGAAATGATACCCAGTGGAATGCAAGAGGGTCTCCTATTACCTATTACATGTATTAAAATTAACATCTCCCTGATGTCAAATTCCGTCAAAATTCCTTATTTTTAGAGTTGCAATCAAGTTTTCAAATACCTAACAAGTGAATGATAAGTCGGTCAGTTTCAAGTCAAGTGATTACTTATTTATAGAATGAACTGTGACTGAAGTTCATTGTTCATCCTCCTTTCACTGGGAAATTGACTTGTGACAGGACTTGGGATTGACTTGAAACCAGACTTCTGATCGGACTTGTGTTTGACTTGTGATTGACTTATGATTGACTTGTGATCGACTCCTGATATGACATGTGCTTTTACTTGTGATGGATTGGTGTCAAACATGTGATTTGACTTGTGGTTGACTTGAGATGGACTTGTGATTGACTCGATAAGAACTTTGTCTTCTTTGACTACATAGCTTTGGAGCACATTCCTAATTCTGTCAAGCTGTGGAAGTTGGCCATTGAGCTAGAAGGCCAGGAGGATGCTAGGATCCTACTCAGCAGAGCTGTAGAGTGCTGTCCATCGAGTGTTGAGGTAAATACAAATGATTACTGTTCTCAGTTTAGGCAGTGATATTCAAGTTTTTCAAATATTGGATCTGAAGCTGGATATTCAATAATTGATTTGGTTGAATATTTGGGAGTAGTAAGTAAAAGACCGACACTTTCATATCAGAGTCATCTGTTAAGTTGCTAAATGATTTTATTTGGCAGTTTTGAGCAAAGTTTTTGTTTTTGTTTTGTTTGTGAAATTAACATTGGACATCAGACATTTTAAACAGTTTGCGGCACAAATTTATTCAAATTATTGAAACATTTGCAGAATATTGGATTTTTTTGTTCTGAAGTTTATTCACTGTTTGTCAATTTCTAATGGTCTGAAATGTTTGTTTTATTGTAGCTCTGGTTGGCTCTAGCTAAGCTTGAAAACTATGACAATGCTCGCAAGGTACTGAACAAGGCTCGAGAAAATATTCCAACAGATCGTAAGATCTGGATCACTGCTGCTAAGCTGGAAGAGGCTGAAGGCAACCATACCAACGTGGACAAAATCATTGACAGAGGTAAAGAGGCTTTGTAACCCTTGAACTACATCACCCTCCAAAACACTTCATTTCTGATAAGGGCCTGTCTCTATTCATATCCGGGACGAGTTCCTGACAAGTAGCGAGTAGAATCATTCACTTTGTCCAGAAGAAGCTCTGCATTTGTCCTGGACATGTTCCAGCGAAATTTTCATTAGCAACTCCTTGCCTCACCAATACTGATAACTTTATTGCGGGGAAGTTGTTCAGAATCCGGCAAATTATACTCAATACAATGTCCGAGTTCCTTACTCACCTCCAACATGGCCTCAGTGCAAACAGTCTGTTGTTTAATTCTTGATGGATTTCTTTTCTAGCACTGTCATCCCTACGTTCCAACATGGTAGAGATTAACCGAGAGCAATGGATCAAAGATGCTGAGGAGTGTGAGCAGGCTGGCAGTATTGTCACCTGTCAGTCTATCATGTGAGTAAGACACAACACCATTGTAGTACGGTTAATTACAAGACGTTGTAAGTAATCACAAGTCAATCACTAGTTATCACAAGTCAATCGCTAGTTATCACAAGTCAATCGCTAGTTATCTTCAGGTTCTGCGGAGCTTTAATGAAAACAAGGCCGTACCAAGCATCAGGATTGGACTTAAAATATGTGGAATTGTTTGAAATGATACATTAATTCATTTGGTGATCCTTCTTGTTGTAATGTCTATTTCTTGTACTGATGAAATGTCTAATTCTGGTTATGTTTGTAGACGTGCTGTGATTGGCGTTGGTCTTGAAGATGAAGATAGGGAGACAACCTGGATGGATGATGCAGACAGTGTGAGTTTGCAAAATGATTTCATCAAGTTGACAAACACCTGTTTCATTCAAGCTTTGATACAATTTACTTAAAGGTGCATTAAATGGACATGTATGTATGGCCATCAGTTAGTTCATAAAAATTTAAACAAAACAAATCCTGATGGAAAATGTAGCACGCAGTGAAATTGGTTGAAACATGGATTTTTGGAATAGCCCCAATTTTCTTGACTCCTCTTTCAATTTGAGATCTATACGTTTGGAATAATTCTTGGATATGCACAATCGTGAAATATTAATCAAATATCTATACCCACGCCCTGACTGTCTTTCCCAACGTTTCCTTTACAGAGTGCCTCTCATCATGCCATAGAGTGTTCCCGTGCCATCTATGCCCACGCCCTGACCGTCTTTCCCAACGTTTCCTTTACAGAGTGCCTCTCATCATGCCATAGAGTGTTCCCGTGCCATCTATGCCCACGCCCTGACCGTCTTTCCCAACGTTTCCTTTACAGAGTGCCTCTCATCATGCCATAGAGTGTTCCTGTGCCATCTATGCCCACGCCCTGACTGTCTTTCCCAACGTTTCCTTTACAGAGTGCCTCTCATCATGCCATAGAGTGTTCCTGTGCCATCTATGCCCACGCCCTGACTGTCTTTCCCAACGTTTCCTTTACAGAGTGCCTCTCATCATGCCATAGAGTGTTCCCGTGCCATCTATGCCCACGCCCTGACCGTCTTTCCCAACGTTTCCTTTACAGAGTGCCTCTCATCATGCCATAGAGTGTTCCCGTGCCATCTATGCCCACGCCCTGACTGTCTTTCCCAACGTTTCCTTTACAGAGTGCCTCTCATCATGCCATAGAGTGTTCCTGTGCCATCTATGCCCACGCCCTGACTGTCTTTCCCAACGTTTCCTTTACAGAGTGCCTCTCATCATGCCATAGAGTGTTCCCGTGCCATCTATGCCCACGCCCTGACTGTCTTTCCCAACGTTTCCTTTACAGAGTGCCTCTCATCATGCCATAGAGTGTTCCTGTGCCATCTATGCCCACGCCCTGACTGTCTTTCCCAACGTTTCCTTTACAGAGTGCCTCTCATCATGCCATAGAGTGTTCCCGTGCCATCTATGCCCACGCCCTGACTGTCTTTCCCAACGTTTCCTTTACAGAGTGCCTCTCATCATGCCATAGAGTGTTCCCGTGCCATCTATGCCCACGCCCTGACCGTCTTTCCCAACGTTTCCTTTACAGAGTGCCTCTCATCATGCCATAGAGTGTTCCCGTGCCATCTATGCCCACGCCCTGACTGTCTTTCCCAGTCGCAAGAAAATCTGGCTGGAAGCGGCATACTTTGAGAAGAACCACGGCTCAAGGTACAGTATGTTGCATGTAATGACAATTCAGATGGAGTCTATGATAGACATAGTTGTGGGCGCATGCACTGATGTGCTCATCGTTTGCAAACACATATGAATTTGTAAATAGTTGGTCATTCTATAAACTGGGCCCAAACTGTAACATTATGTCCCTATTGCATTGGTACTTTGTTATTTGCCATTCAAGTATCATTAGAATGATTCCAACATTTTTGTTTTTTTTTGGTGGGTTGGTAGTTTGCTATTCATAATCACTTGAGGACAACTGCATTGAATTCTCCCTCTGTGGCTGACAAATTCAGCTATGCATCGCATCAGTCAAAATAATCAAGTGATTGTTTTTGACACATGGGAGAGTGTGGCTCTTTGATAAGGTGGAGCGAAGGAGAAATAAGTACCATTTGTTCCAACTCCAATCTTGGCCTATAATATGTGTGCGGTGTTGCCTTCTAATGAATGAGACTGACGTTTATATTCCTGTTCAGGGAATCTCTGGAGAGTCTGTTGCAGAAAGCCGTAGGCCACTGCCCCAAGGCTGAGGTACTGTGGCTGATGGGAGCTAAGTCCAAATGGCTGGCTGTAAGTACATGGAAATCTTATATTTGATTTGAAATCCCTTCTTAAGTCCAGCGAACAGGTAACTAAGTACCGCCTTAAATGTTTTATAATTTATTAGTTCAATGCAACTAAAAACATGCAAAGAACTAGCAACTCTTTGTAACAAAAATGTGCTCAGATGTTGACTTTTCCCATAATTTGCTGCTATAAAGGGCTCTCTGTGGTATACACTTGATAGCGTACTGTATTGTAAATCGCTCCTTTTCTTAAATAGGAACTACAGAAAATACTTGTTCATTTTGTTCATATTTTCTTTTTCTTTTATAGGGTGACGTGCCAGCAGCTCGTAGTATTCTAGCCTTAGCCTTCCAAGCCAACCCTAACAGTGAGGAGATTTGGCTGGCTGCTGTCAAACTGGAGAGTGAGAATAACGAAGATGAGAGAGCAAGAAGACTGCTAGCAAGGGCTAGGAACAGCGCCCCCACTGCTAGGGTAAGGCCAAGCCTAATTTTGTACAAGAAACTTACACAAGTGGCTTCATAAAATTTGATGCCACAGCTACTGGTCCATTTTGGAATGGGCACAATTTGCTATTGAATGTACAGTATATCCATCGTTTCTTATCCATTGTCCTGTTTCGTGCTAGGTCTGGATGAAATCAGTGAAGTTGGAATGGCAGCTAGACTGTATTGACAGGGCCAGGCAGTTACTAGATGAAGGAGTCAAACACTATGCAGACTTTGCCAAGGTAACTAGCTTAGACAAGTCTTTATCAATCTCTGCATATTTTTGCTAGAAACTTTCCTTAGTCTTTTCAAAACTCTTTGCTGAAACAAGTGGCATTTATTTTTGTATTTAAGTTCTAGTCCCGTCCTCCCGAATTCTGCAAAATTCTTCAAAATGATTGGGTGGATTTCAGGGATATTTAAATATTGTCAAGTCTAGAGTGTGCATGTACGGGTAGTACTGGAGCAGGGGTACCAGATTAAAAAAAAAACCTGGTATCTGGATACCCGTTACTTACTAATCCCAACCCAACATTCAAATCTTGGAAGTTGCTGTGCAGATTGTTTACAAAGGTGGTGCTTTCCCATACAGTCCTTAATCTTGTAATGTCGTCGTATCCATACAGTTATGGATGATGCGAGGACAGATTGCTGAGCAACTCGGCGAGCGCGAGGATGCCAGAAAGACCTACCAACAAGGAGTGAGTACCAAAGCTCGTCTGAAGTTTCTTTGATATTTTTTCTTAAAATACAACACCGAGACTTTAGAGTTTTGTTTCAAACTCAGACAAATTTGTATACCTGCTTGACAGCAGTAAGGTTAATCTTTGGGTGCATTTGTTTCGTTATGAATCAAAATCCATATCCTTGGAACCAGCACTGTGCTATAACCAACAAAACTGCACCTGATCTGGATCTTAAGTCATGTGACTAGCCAAAAGTAGATTGGAGACTGTTATTAAACATTGTATGTCAATTCGTTCATCAACGTTTAGAAATGCGTGCTGATACACCTCTCGAGAAGGATCGCTGAGATCTGTCATCCAGATCAGGATCTAAAGACAAACATACAAACAGGCCCTTCATCAGCACCCTTTTTGCTTACTGTTGTCAATGCTCCTTATGTGTTTCAGCTCAAGAAGTGTTCCCATTCAGTTCCTCTGTGGCTTTTGGCCGCCAGACTAGAAGAGAAGGTTGGGAACCTGACCAAGGCTAGAGCCTTGCTGGAGAAAGCGAGGCTAAGCTGCCCACAGTGCCCTGATCTATGGTAGGTAGAAACATGGCTTCCCGTGAAATCACCTCTAACTTTGGTAACCTCTTGGTGATACATTGTATATTTATTTTGCTGGATTTTGCTGACCTTCCGTCCCCCTTCATTTCTTTGCAGGCTTGAGGCAGTCCGAGCTGAATCTCGTGCTGGCAATAAGAACATAGCTCAGGCTACGATGGCCCGAGCCATGCAGGACAGCCCCTCATCAGGCATACTATGGGCTGAGGCTATCTTCCTGGAAGCTAGACCGCAGCGTAAGACTAAGAGTGTGGATGCTCTCAAGAGATGTGAACATGACCCACAAGTACTGCTGGCTGTTTCCAAGTAAGTTTGGAATATTTTATACAATACGTTCCGATGTTATGAAATCTAAGTACCGTGTGACCATCCGGTTTCCCACCATTGCAGCCATTTGCTATCAGATATTAGCCAAAACATTTTTTCATGTACATCTACTAGCTTGGAGATGTATGCACACTACCCTTACATATAGACTAGCACATGGGTACCCCTTACACTTGTCAACTCACATGTGTATTTACCATGTACGTTAATCATAGTGTGCACGCTTGTTAGCAAAACTAGCGGCTGTCACATGATGATGAACAGATCAGTGAGAAGTTGACTCTTGATCATGAATGTGTATGAGGTAAAGTAATACCCATTGTTAAACATCAATCTGTCTGCCGTGCAAGATCTATCAAAATCTTAGTATTTCTGATCATAACTGTTGTAGGTTATTCTGGAGTGAGCGTAAGATCAGCAAGGCCAGAGAGTGGTTCAACCGTACCGTCAAGATTGAGCCTGATCTAGGGGATGCATGGGCCAACTTCTTCAGGTTTGAAATACAACATGGCAATGAGGTAAGTACATTGGCACACCATAGAGTAATAACTGCCCCCCCCCCCACAAAAAACACAGTGGATTGACTGTCATGTGCTACAAGTATTCCAGGTTATATATTTTTTAGCATATTTTTGTTTGTAATCATTTTTAAACGTTCACAACTTTTCCAATTAGAAAAAAAAAATTAGACTGTTAAATATTTGAAAATAAGAACGCATAAAGTTGAGAACTTAACTTTTTCAAAAAGCATTGTAGTTTATCTCAAGGAAGTGTTGAAGAATTTTTAATCCCTCTTTAAAATGAAACAAAAATGCTTGAGAAAAAAAAATGAGGGTCTGAAAGCAGTCTATAAACACGTACCTGCGTAACAGCAACAATGTAGACCAATGCCAACATTCGTAGTTCTGTTAAGCACACCGTAATAATTTTGTTGTCTCCAACTTTTTTATTAAGTCAACCCAACCTTTCTGGTAACCATAAAGCTACGCAGAAGTGACTAAAGTTTGTAAATTGTTTCAATTCGCCTGTAGGAGCAGCAGGAATCAGTGCGTAAGCGCTGCGTAGAGGCCGAGCCTAGACATGGTGAGCTGTGGTGTAATGTCTCCAAGAACATCAAGAACTGGAGATGTAAAACTAACGAGATCCTACCCATGGTGGCAAGTACCATCAGCACAGTCTTCTAGACAGGTATTTGCCTACGGGCAATTCTAGCTTTATGTAACGTCTGTGACAGGCATGACAGAGCTTTTGAGAGCTCAGTGACTACACCTGATAATTAAATGTATTTGTCAAATCTTATACATCCGTTGTAAATAGTCAAGGAGAATACAGACTAGGAGTTTGGGGCCTTGTTGTTGATAATGTCCCTCGCCTTCGGCAGGGGCTGTTATCAGCATTCATTCCTACAGCTAGTCTTAAACGGACTTAGTTAAAACTAGCCAAGCACATATTTATTCCCTTATTGTATATTGTTTATTCCGTTTACAATAAGAATGTGTTAAAAAAAAAACAGGTGTCCAGAGCTATGGCTGTGTCAATTGTCAGCTTGTGCCCATGTAGTTGTAAGGGAAGATGACTCGGACAGAAGCACTAGACGAGAGATTTGGACTAGTCCTAACAGTTTGCTATGCCTCATAGTGCCACCAGGTTGTAAATATGTAAAGTACAACTGTTTTGAGACAAAATATTTGCACATCTTCGTCAAGGTACATGTAAATGGGGAATGGCGATGAAGATACAATTCATTCATCGTTATTTCTGGTTCAAATGTTACCATTGATGCTTGCTGTTGCATGAGATCACATTACTTTATTTTCTAATCATTAATAATAGAGGACATGTAGTTAAGTTTGTACTATGTAATAGGAACATGTCAGCCTTAAATGTTAAAAATGTTGGTTCTTAAAACATTTTGCTGAATGTTCTCAAAATAAAATGCAGATTCACATCCTTATTTTGGGGAACTTTGTCATTTCGTATAATAGGTGAACAGATGTGGATTATTGAAATGGGAACATTTTTTTTCTCAAAAGAACAGAAAAATACTTTCACAATCGTGAATTACTTTTTTAACAGAATAAATAGCTCACAAAATAAGACTGAGATTTTTGCAACAGAGTAATAAGTTGTTTTTATTTCCTTACTGTTATGTTAACTAGGAGACGTCTACAATTGTAATTTTAAAGGTCAAACTGTTAAGAATAAATACACATTGAATATGTACCTCAGTAGAAAAGTACAAATTTCACTTGCACACCAATGGTGATTACACTGTGGTGACTACATGAGCTACCGGTAGTCTCATCAATATAATACAAATTATGGGCTTGCCCAAGTTTATGGTTTCACAAAAATCCACAGACACTACAGCACAAAACTCTACCTACATGTAACTGTAACATCCTCTTACTACGCATTCTGTGCTTACAGGATTAGAGCAGAATTTCCGTATATTCCAGAATATTGTGTTTCCTGGAAACGCACAGCATTTACAGAGCTAGATTTTGAGCACTTTTGTTGCTTCAAACCAAAAACAATTTACAGCGACAATGGAAATTGGAACAGAACATTCAAGCCCGTACTGTGAAGAGGGATTTTATACAATTTAGACTATTTCAAATTGTTAGAGTCTTTGGTAAGTTATAGACTTCATTTTTTCTGTACAACAATTGATTTCTGCTAAGATGATACTTTACAAATATCATTTTAATGAAAATACTTTGATTCATGTATGGTGTACACATTCATTCTTTGTGGAAAGTTGAATCCACATACATGTAAGAAACTAGGAAATATAGGACTATCACGTGCACCATTGGAACAAGTACATACATATACTGTACATATATAGATTCAGCATTATAATGGACAATTTACTGCTGTAAAACTTACACTCATAAATACCTTAAACAATACCCAGTCCTAGTGGTAGAGAGCCTGTCATGTGGGTGGTTTTAATAGGGCCCAAGACCCAAATTCTACTTGGCAACATATTTTGTGCAACTTTCTACTCAAATAAATGTTTGAAAACTGTTTAACATCCGTTTCCAGGATAATGCAAGATACCTAAGGGACCCAAGAACACATTCCAATGCGATTTGTGGACAGATGGACTTATCAAAGGAATTTCTGTATTGTTTCGAGAAAAGTCAGTTTTTGCCAAATTTCACTAAAAAAGTAAGGCTAACCCCTTGCATTTTTTTAATTTTGGCCAAAAAATAAACTTGCTTCAAACTTGCAGGAAAGATGCCTAATGGACCTTAGAACACATTCCAATGCGATTTCTGGATGAATGGACACTCTAAAGGAATTTCTGTATTGTTTCGAGAAAAGTTAATTTTTGACGAAATTTCACTAAAAAAGTAAGGCTAACCCCTTGCATTTTTTTAATTTTGGCCAAAAAATAAAATTGCTTCAAACTTGCAGGAAAGATGCCTAATGGACCTTAGAACGCATTCCAATTCGATTTCTGGATGGATGGACACTTCAAAGGAATTTCTGTATTGTTTCGAGAAAAGTCAATTTTTACCAAATTTCACTAAAAAAGTAAGGCTAACCCCTTGCATTTTTTTCAATTTTTGCCAAAAAATAAAATTGCTTCAAACTTGCAGGAAAGATGCCTAATGGACCTAAGAACGCATTCCAATTCGATTGCTGGATGGATGGACACTTCAAAGGAATTTTTGTATTGTTTCGAGAAAAGTCAATTTTTGACCAAATTTCACTAAAAAAGTAAGGCTAACCCCTTGCATTTTTTAAATTTTGGCCAAAAAATAAAATTGCTTCAAACTTGCAGGAAAGATGCCTAATGGACCTTAGAACGCATTCCAATGCCATTTCTGGATGGATGGACACTTCAAAGGAATTTCTGTATCGTTTCGAGAAAAGTCAATTTTTGACCAAATTCACTAAAAAAGTAAGGCTAACCCCTTGCATTTTTTTGAATTTTTGCCAAAAAATAAAATTGCTTCAAACTTGCAGGAAAGATGCCTAATGGACCTTAGAACGCATTCCAATTCGATTGCTGGTTGGATGGACACTTCAAAGGAATTTCTGTATTGTCTCGAGAAAAGTTAATTTTTGTCCAAATTTCACTAAAAAAGTAAGGCTAACCCCTTGCATTTTTTCAATTTTGGCCAAAAAATAAAATTGCTTCAAACTTGCAGGAAAGATGCCTAATGGACCTTAGAACACATTCCAATGCGATTTCTGGATGAAAGGACACTCTAAAGGAATTTCTGTATTGTTTCGAGAAAAGTCAATTTTTGACCAAATTTCACTAAAAAAGTAAGGCTAACCCCTTGCATTTTTTTGAATTTTTGCCAAAAAATAAAATTGCTTCAAACTTGCAGGAAAGATGCCTAATGGACCTTAGAACGCATTCCAATTCGATTGCTGGATGGATGGACACTTCAAAGGAATTTCTGTATTGTCTCGAGAAAAGTTAATTTTTGTCCAAATTTCACTAAAAAAGTAAGGCTAACCCCTTGCATTTTTTTAATTTTGGCCAAAAAATAAAATTGCTTCAAACTTGCAGGAAAGATGCCTAATGAACCTTAGAACACATTCAAATGCGATTTCTGGATGAATGGACACTCTAAAGGAATTTCTGTATTGTTTCGAGAAAAGTCAATTTTTGACCAAATTTCACTAAAAAAGTAAGGCTAACCCCTTGCATTTTTTAAATTTTGGCCAAAAAATAAAATTGCTTCAAACTTGAAGGAAAGATGCCTAATGGACCTTAGAACGCATTCAAATTCGATTTCTGGATGGATGGACACTTCAAAGGAATTTCTGTATTGTTTCGAGAAAAGTCAATTTTTGACCAAATTTCACTAAAAAAGTAAGGCTAACCCCTTGCATTTTTTTCAATTTTTGCCAAAAAATAAAATTGCTTCAAACTTGCAGGAAAGATGCCTAATGAACCTTAGAACACATTCAAATGCGATTTCTGGATGAATGGACACTCTAAAGGAATTTCTGTATTGTTTCGAGAAAAGTCAATTTTTGACCAAATTTCACTAAAAAAGTAAGGCTAACCCCTTGCATTTTTTTAATTTTGGCCAAAAAATAAAATTGCTTCAAACTTGCAGGAAAGATGCCTAATGGACCTTAGAACGCATTCAAATTCGATTTCTGGATGGATGGACACTTAAAAGGAATTTCTGTATTGTTTCGAGAAAAGTCAATTTTTGACCAAATTTCACTAAAAAAGTAAGGCTAACCCCTTGCATTTTTTTGAATTTTTGCCAAAAAATAAAATTGCTTCAAACTTGCAGGAAAGATGCCTAATGGACCTTAGAACGCATTCCAATTCGATTGCTGGATGGATGGACACTTCAAAGGAATTTCTGTATTGTTTCGGGAAAAGTCAATTTTTGACCAAATTTCACTAAAAAAGTAAGGCTAACCCCTTGCATTTTTTAAATTTTGGTTAAAAAATAAAATTGCTTTAAACTTGCAGGAAAGATGCCTAATGGAGCTTAGAACGCATTCCAATTCGATTTCTGGATGAATGGACACTCTAAAGGAATTTCTGTATTGTTTCGAGAAAAGTAAATTTTTGACGAAATTTCACTAAAAAAGTAAGGCTAACCCCTTGCATTTTTTAAATTTTGGCCAAAAAATAAAATTGCTTCAAACTTGCAGGAAAGATGCCTAATGGACCTTAGAACGCATTCCAATTCGATTTCTGGATGGATGGACACTTCAAAGGAATTTCTGTATTGTCTCAAGAAAAGTTAATTTTTGTCCAAATTTCACTAAAAAAGGAAGGCTAACCTCTTGCATTTTTTCAATTTTGGCCAAAAAATAAAATTGCTTCAAACTTGCAGGAAAGATGCCTAAAGGACCTTAGAACACATTCCAATGCGATTTCTGGATGAATGGATACTCTAAAGGAATTTCTGTATTGTTTCGAGAAAAGTCAATTTTTGTCCAAATTACACAAAAAAAGTAAGGCTAACCCCTTGCATTTTTTTAATTTTGGCCAAAAAATAAAATTGCTTCAAACTTGCAGGAAAGATGCCTAATGGACCTTAGAACGCATTCCAATTCGATTTCTGGATGGATGGACACTTCAAAGGAATTTCTGTATTGTCTCGAAAAAAGTCAATTTTTGACCAAATTTCACTAAAAAAGTAAGGCTAACCCCTTGCATTTTTTTGAATTTTTGCCAAAAAATAAAATTGCTTCAAACTTGCAGGAAAGATGCCTAATGGACCTTAGAACGCATTCCAATTCGATTGCTGGATGGATGGACACTTCAAAGGAATTTCTGTATTGTCTCGAGAAAAGTTAATTTTTGTCCAAATTTCACTAAAAAAGTAAGGCTAACCCCTTGCATTTTTTTAATTTTGGCCAAAAAATAAAATTGCTTCAAACTTGCAGGAAAGATGCCTAATGAACCTTAGAACACATTCAAATGCGATTTCTGGATGAATGGACACTCTAAAGGAATTTCTGTATTGTTTCGAGAAAAGTCAATTTTTGACCAAATTTCACTAAAAAAGTAAGGCTAACCCCTTGCATTTTTTAAATTTTGGCCAAAAAATAAAATTGCTTCAAACTTGCAGGAAAGATGCCTAATGGACCTTAGAACGCATTCAAATTCGATTTCTGGATGGATGGACACTTCAAAGGAATTTCTGTATTGTTTCGAGAAAAGTCAATTTTTGACCAAATTTCACTAAAAAAGTAAGGCTAACCCCTTGCATTTTTTGAATTTTGGCCAAAAAATAAAATTGCTTCAAACTTGCAGGAAAGATGCCTAATGGAGCTTAGAACACATTCAAATGCGATTTCTGGATGAATGGACACTCTAAAGGAATTTCTGTATTGTTTCGAGAAAAGTCAATTTTTGACCAAATTTCACTAAAAAAGTAAGGCTAACCCCTTGCATTTTTTTGAATTTTTGCCAAAAAATAAAATTGCTTCAAACTTGCAGGAAAGATGCCTAATGGACCTTAGAACGCATTCCAATTCGATTGCTGGATGGATGGACACTTCAAAGGAATTTCTGTATTGTCTTGAGAAAAGTTAATTTTTGTCCAAATTTCACTAAAAAAGTAAGGCTAACCCCTTGCATTTTTTTAATTTTGGCCAAAAAATAAAATTGCTTCAAACTTGCAGGAAAGATGCCTAATGGACCTTAGAACGCATTCCAATGCGATTTCTGGATGAATGGATACTCTAAAGGAATTTCTGTATTGTTTCGAGAAAAGTCAATTTTTGTCCAAATTACACAAAAAAAGTAAGGCTAACCCCTTGCATTTTTAAAATTTTGGTTAAAAAATAAAATTGCTTCAAACTTGCAGGAAAGATGCCTAATGGACCTTAGAACGCATTCCAATTCGATTTCTGGATGAATGGACACTCTAAAGGAATTTCTGTATTGTTTCGAGAAAAGTCAATTTTTGACGAAATTTCACTAAAAAAGTAAGGCTAACCCCTTGCATTTTTTAAATTTTGGCCAAAAAATAAAATTGCTTCAAACTTGCAGGAAAGATGCCTAATGGACCTTAGAACGCATTCCAATTCGATTTCTGGATGGCTGGACACTTCAAAGGAATTTCTGTATTGTTTCGAGAAAAGTCAATTTTTGATCAAATTTCACTAAAAAAGTAAGGCTAACCCCTTGCATTTTTTTGAATTTTTGCCAAAAAATAAAATTGCTTCAAACTTGCAGGAAAGATGCCTAATGGACCTTAGAACGCATTCCAATTCGATTGCTGGATGGATGGACACTTCAAAGGAATTTCTGTATTGTCTTGAGAAAAGTTAATTTTTGTCCAAATTTCACTAAAAAAGTAAGGCTAACCCCTTGCATTTTTTTAAATTTTGGCCAAAAAATAAAATTGCTTCAAACTTGCAGGAAAGATGCCTAATGGACCTTAGAACGCATTCCAATTCGATTGCTGGATGGATGGACACTTCAAAGGAATTTCTGTATTGTTTCGAGAAAAGTCAATTTTTGACCAAATTTCACTAAAAAAGTAAGGCTAACCCCTTGCATTTTTTTAATTTTGGCCAAAAAATAAAATTGCTTCAAACTTGCAGGAAAGATGCCTAATGGACCTTAGAACGCATTCCAATGCGATTTCTGGATGGATGGACACTTCAAAGGAATTTCTGTATTGTTTGGAGAAAAGTCAATTTTTGACCAAATTTCACTAAAAAAGTAAGGCTAACCGCTTGCATTTTTTAAATTTTGGTTAAAAAATAAAATTGCTTCAAACTTGCAGGAAAGATGCCTAATGGACCTTAGAACGCATTCCAATTCGATTTCTGGATGAATGGACACTCTAAAGGAATTTCTGTATTGTTTCGAGAAAAGTCAATTTTTGACCAAATTTCACTAAAAAAGTAAGGCTAACCCCTTGCATTTTTTAAATTTTGGCCAAAAAATAAAATTGCTTCAAACTTGCAGGAAAGATGCCTAATGGACCTTAGAACGCATTCCAATTCGATTTCTGGATGGATGGACACTTCAAAGGAATTTCTGTATTGTTTCGAGAAAAGTCAATTTTTGACCAAATTTCACTAAAAAAGTAAGGCTAACCCCTTGCATTTTTTGAATTTTTGCCAAAAAATAAAATTGCTTCAAACTTGCAGGAAAGATGCCTAATGGACCTTAGAACGCATTCCAATTCGATTGCTGGATGGATGGACACTTCAAAGGAATTTCTGTATTGTCTTGAGAAAAGTTAATTTTTGTCCAAATTTCACTAAAAAAGTAAGGCTAACCCCTTGCATTTTTTTAATTTTGGCCAAAAAATAAAATTGCTTCAAACTTGCAGGAAAGATGCCTAATGGACCTTAAAACGCATTCCAATTCGATTGCTGGATGGATGGACACTTCAAAGGAATTTCTGTATTGTTTCGAGAAAAGTCAATTTTTGACCAAATTTCACTAAAAAAGTAAGGCTAACCCCTTGCATTTTTTAAATTTTGGTTAAAAAATAAAATTGCTTCAAACTTGCAGGAAAGATGCCTAATGGAGCTTAGAATGCATTCCAATTCGATTTCTGGATGAATGGACACTCTAAAGGAATTTCTGTATTGTTTCGAGAAAAGTCAATTTTTGACGAAATTTCACTAAAAAAGTAAGGCTAACCCCTTGCATTTTTAAAATTTTGGCCAAAAAATAAAATTGCTTCAAACTTGCAGGAAAGATGCCTAATGGACCTTAGAACGCATTCCAATTCGATTTCTGGATGGATGGACACTTCAAAGGAATTTCTGTATTGTTTCGAGAAAAGTCAATTTTTGACCAAATTTCACTAAAAAAGTAAGGCTAACCCCTTGCATTTTTTGAATTTTTGCCAAAAAATAAAATTGCTTCAAACTTGCAGGAAAGATGCCTAATGGACCTTAGAACGCATTCCAATTCGATTGCTGGATGGATGGACACTTCAAAGGAATTTCTGTATTGTCTTGAGAAAAGTTAATTTTTGTCCAAATTTCACTAAAAAAGTAAGGCTAACCCCTTGCATTTTTTTAATTTTGGCCAAAAAATAAAATTGCTTCAAACTTGCAGGAAAGATGCCTAATGGACCTTAGAACGCATTCCAATTCGATTGCTGGATGGATGGACACTTCAAAGGAATTTCTGTATTGTCTTGAGAAAAGTTAATTTTTGTCCAAATTTCACTAAAAAAGTAAGGCTAACCCCTTGCATTTTTTTAATTTTGGCCAAAAAATAAAATTGCTTCAAACTTGCAGGAAAGATGCCTAATGGACCTTAAAACGCATTCCAATTCGATTGCTGGATGGATGGACACTTCAAAGGAATTTCTGTATTGTTTCGAGAAAAGTCAATTTTTGACCAAATTTCACTAAAAAAGTAAGGCTAACCCCTTGCATTTTTTAAATTTTGGTTAAAAAATAAAATTGCTTCAAACTTGCAGGAAAGATGCCTAATGGAGCTTAGAATGCATTCCAATTCGATTTCTGGATGAATGGACACTCTAAAGGAATTTCTGTATTGTTTCGAGAAAAGTCAATTTTTGACGAAATTTCACTAAAAAAGTAAGGCTAACCCCTTGCATTTTTAAAATTTTGGCCAAAAAATAAAATTGCTTCAAACTTGCAGGAAAGATGCCTAATGGACCTTAGAACGCATTCCAATTCGATTTCTGGATGGATGGACACTTCAAAGGAATTTCTGTATTGTTTCGAGAAAAGTCAATTTTTGACCAAATTTCACTAAAAAAGTAAGGCTAACCCCTTGCATTTTTTGAATTTTTGCCAAAAAATAAAATTGCTTCAAACTTGCAGGAAAGATGCCTAATGGACCTTAGAACGCATTCCAATTCGATTGCTGGATGGATGGACACTTCAAAGGAATTTCTGTATTGTCTTGAGAAAAGTTAATTTTTGTCCAAATTTCACTAAAAAAGTAAGGCTAACCCCTTGCATTTTTTTAATTTTGGCCAAAAAATAAAATTGCTTCAAACTTGCAGGAAAGATGCCTAATGGACCTTAAAACGCATTCCAATTCGATTGCTGGATGGATGGACACTTCAAAGGAATTTCTGTATTGTTTCGAGAAAAGTCAATTTTTGACCAAATTTCACTAAAAAAGTAAGGCTAACCCCTTGCATTTTTTAAATTTTGGTTAAAAAATAAAATTGCTTCAAACTTGCAGGAAAGATGCCTAATGGAGCTTAGAATGCATTCCAATTCGATTTCTGGATGAATGGACACTCTAAAGGAATTTCTGTATTGTTTCGAGAAAAGTCAATTTTTGACGAAATTTCACTAAAAAAGTAAGGCTAACCCCTTGCATTTTTAAAATTTTGGCCAAAAAATAAAATTGCTTCAAACTTGCAGGAAAGATGCCTAATGGACCTTAGAACGCATTCCAATTCGATTTCTGGATGGATGGACACTTCAAAGGAATTTCTGTATTGTTTCGAGAAAAGTCAATTTTTGATCAAATTTCACTAAAAAAGTAAGGCTAACCCCTTGCATTTTTTCAATTTTGGCCAAAAAATAAAATTGCTTCAAACTTGCAGGAAAGATGCCTAATGGACCTTAGAACACATTCCAATGCGATTTCTGGATGAATGGATACTCTAAAGGAATTTCTGTATTGTTTCGAGAAAAGTCAATTTTTGACCAAATTTCACTAAAAAAGTAAGGCTAACCCCTTGCATTTTTTTAAATTTTGGCCAAAAAATAAAATTGCTTCAAACTTGCAGGAAAGATGCCTAATGGACCTTAGAATGCATTCCAATTCGATTGCTGGATGGATGGACACTTCAAAGGAATTTCTGTATTGTCTCGAAAAAAGTTAATTTTTGTCCAAATTTCACTAAAAAAGTAAGGCTAACCCCTTGCATTTTTTTCAAATTTTGGCCAAATATAAAATTGATTCAAACTTCTAGGAAAGATGCCTAATGGACCTTAGAACACATTCCAATGCGATTTCTGGATGAATGGACACTCTAAAGGAATTTCTGTATTGTTTTGAGAAAAGTCCCATTTTTTACCAAATTTCACTAGAAAAGTGAGGCTAACCCCTTGCATTTTTTTCAAATTTTTGCCAAAATCTAAAATTACTTCAAACGTCTAGGAAAGATGCCTAATGGACCTTAGAACGCATTCCAATTCGATTTCTGGATGGATGGACACTTCAAAGGAATTTCTGTATTGTTTCGTGAAAAGTCAATTTTTGACCAAATTTCACTAAAAAAGTAAGGCTAACCTCTTGCATTTTTTTCAATTTTGGCCATAAAATAAATTTGCTTCAAACTTCTAGGAAAGATGCCTAATGGACCTTAGAACACATTCCAATGCGATTTCTGGATGAATGGACCCTCTAAAGGAATTTCTGTATTGTTTTGAGAAAAGTCCCATTTTTTACCGAATTTCAATAAAAAAATTAGGCTAACCCCTTGCATTTTTAAAATTTGGCCAAAAAATTAAATTGCTTCAAACTTCTTGAAAAGATTCCTAATGGACCTTAGAACGCATTCCAATTCGATTTCTGGATGGATGGACACTTCAAAGGAATTTCTGTATTGTTTCCAGAAAGGTGATTTTGACCAAATTTGATTAAAAAGGTAAGGCGAAAGCTCTTGCATTTTTTTTTTAAATTTTGGCCAAAAAAGTGCCTAATAAATCGGACCCTAGAACACATTCCAATTCGATTTCATTGAATGGAGCACAGTCTTGTACTAAAACCATTACATTGAAGGGACCCTCACCTTGAGTTTGTATATGGAATATTTGTGTACTGTATCATATCTGACAAAATTCACCAAAAGCCACCAAAACCAGGTTGTGGATTTTGATGTGTTTGGGATTGTTAGGGTTATAAGCTTTATACATGACATACTTGAATTCACAAAAACAATGAGGAATTGAAACCCGGTGTTGTGCTCCTTGCTGAGTCGCCGATGTCATCATACGAAGTCAGATCACACATCCAGTACAGGTCAGCCTGCAGACAAACGCCCAAGGACTTGCAGGGCAGGTGATCCGAAAAACAGGCTGAAACAAATTGGGAGAATTTTATTTTGAGTTTTCTGGCTAGTAAAACAATCCTTGTGTCAAATCGACGGGAAACATAAATAATAAATGGCTACGTGTCTTCATTCAGCCAATAGCAAATTCCATTCATGTTGTTCGATATGTGCTCACGAAATACGAACACTTGTTGCACACTATGTGTTGTCAGCGTGATATAGACTTGTTTCGTTTGAGTGGTGTGTGAGATTCGAATGTCCAAAAGCTGGTTTGGGGCTAATTATAAACTGATGGATTATAGGGAGTCAGTTTTGCATCTTGTTTTCACTTGCAAAATGTAAGTTTCTATTTTTAAGAAGAAAATGAGAAATGGAGACCATTGTGTCAACATTTGCTTAGCTAGAAATCATTTGTTGTGTGAGGCCTACATGCTCTGCAATACTCACTGCAATTTGCTTCGTCTTTGAAGTTCCCACAGTCATCCACTGCGTCGCACATCAGGTTTTTGGGGACACAGCGGGAGTTTCCACAATCCATCTGATCATCATTGCAAACTGTGAGAAATATGTTATCCAAAGTCAATACAAGGTTGCAGAATCGAAAAACTTTGAACAAGTGTGGTACAGGGCGAGTCAAAAAGAAAATATCCCAGTGAGAAAAAATATATTCAAAGTGGCTTGCTCCATTTAACCAAAATAACATAGGAATGGAGTACATATGAATGACTTGTAAATTGTGAATATTTCATGTAATCTCTATTTAAACAATACCACAACATTCTGCTGTCCTTAAAAGCCTTTGAATACAACAATGCCTATAAAATTTCGAGTTTGGTAGTCGTGAAAATGAAAGATGTCAACTGTTTTTCCTTACAAAGATCTTTATTCAACCATTTTAATTTGTAATATTTCTTAACATATGTGAAGTAGACATATCAAAGATTACACATATCAATAAATCTGAAAATTAAGATAAACAAATCCCCCCCCAATTGGTTTGCATTTGTCTCTAGTATGACCTGTGCTTAGTTCTGTCTGATTTTGCCAGACTGCCTCACATATCCTTGCAAAGGTAGAGGAAAGAGAAGTAAAATCATGACTCACTGCAGTTGAGTTCATCACTAGCATCTAAGCAGTCATCAAAACCATCACACCTCCAGAAGGCAGGCACACAGATGGAGTTATCGCAACGGAACTCGGTTGGGCTACACTCTGTGGGCAGTCAAGCAACAAAGTGAAGGCTGGACTTGATTGTAAATTAAAATGGAGTGTAATGCTCTTTGAAATGCAAAGGAAACTTTACCAGTAAAAGATATCCCCAGCACTCACTTGGGATTCAGTCACATTTGGGAAACATGAGGATACTGGAGAACAAAACATATAGAAACTATTTCCTGTGAAAATGTTTGTACTTTGTGGACTGGATTCTTACCACAATTTGTCTCATCTCTCCATGTATAGCAATCAATTTCACCATCGCACACCATCTGTTGGGAAATCTGTCTGCCATCACCACAGGGAAAGTAACCTGAATGTATTAACAATGACACATGTCAATCACATGTCACATGTCACATGTCAATCACATGTCACATGTCAATCACATGTCATGCATGTGATTCAGGGTCATCAACTTGAGATGTAAAACACATGTATTTCAGAAGTTAATCACAAGTCAAATTACAAGTCGAGTCATGTCATTACTGGTTCTCCAACTGAAATGTTATTTGGAAAACCAAAATTACGCGACAGTAATGTAAAATGTGTGCCCATGATGCGCACCAAAGTGCACTTACAGTGTCAGGTGTCAGTGACGATCGATACCAATCACAAGTCAAATCACAAATCAATCACAAGTTAGGACTTACTGCAGTTGCGCTCATCACTGCCATCTCCGCAATCATCCCTATTGTTGCAGCGGTAGTAAAAATCCATTTTACACAAACCGTTGTCACAACGAAACTGGGTATCGGAACACTCTTTAAAAAGAAGAAAAAGAGAGAACATAAAATACACCTAGGGACTCAAATGAGGAAAAAGTACAAAAGTTTCATGTGACACATAACTATAAATCTAAGGAATTAAGGAATAATAGTGACTAGTAGGTGGAGTAGTTCAAGTTAATAAATATGTGCTTGGCCAGTTTTAAGCAAGCTTGTTTAAAATCGTTTATGGGGGCTGGACGTGGATATTGGCCCATATGTTTGGTCAGCAGTTTTACTTTGTGTTTTTTAAACATCCCTCTCACCAAAGCTATGGTATGTGCCTCAGTCACACGGGTAAATATCTCCTTTTATGGAGATTGGTGCGCGTGAATGATGTGGCGCAAAATGAAGCGGTGCTTTATCAGCAGTTTAAAACCACCCATGTGACGGCTCTTGGCAAATAGGAATGGGTAAATTGTTTAAGGTTTTTATAAATTTCTGGTTTAAAAAGGTTATAGGGATTAGTCGTGGACTATGGCCTGAGTCAATTAAAGGCACAAATAATCTTTTAGTCAAAACTGAGAAAAAAGATTAACAAAAATGGCAAAATAAAATGCAATGTCTCGCGACCAGTTTTAAAACATCGGTGATGACCAGTGTTTGAACGGCTGATTAAGACCAACCACATGATGTGCTCTCAACCATCAGAAAGACTATTGTTTTGTTTGTCAGTATCCCACACTTACCACAGTGCAGTTCATCACTGTGATCCTCACAGTCAAAGTACCCATCACACACCTGATCGGACCAAATTGACCTCTGACCCTTGTCACATTCGAAGAATTCTGCCAATGATAAGGGAGACAAGCAGCTGTGTGATGCATTCCTTTTAATTTTACAAATCAAAGTAAACAAATTCAAAGTGACAAAAAAAACTGACAAAATGCATCTAAACTCTCTGCTTTTTGACAGCATTTGTAAAACTAAAACCCACAGTCACTGCAGATCTATCATTGAAGTTGGTTTGGAATCTCTACTTACGTGGTGGTAGTTGACCATCCACTAAGGATTGAATAAAGTCCATCATAGATGTCACATTGGTGTAATAGTTGACTTCGCCACATTTCTTGCCACTGCTTACTAGTCCAACGATGTACCAGCTCCCCTGCTGCCCTCGCTCCATGTCACTATTCAGACAGACTAGTCCACTGCCACTGTCAAACTATACGGTACGTTACAAAGACTTCAAGTCAATCACTACTGGTAACAAGTTATTTCACAAGTAACAGGGCTGGGGATGTTAGCTCATGCAAAAAATTGACTTGATGTCACAATTGAGTTCACACTGAAAATCTTGCAGAGTATGAACCGGCACATACACCAAGCTGAAATCAATTAACCCACTTGGCATGTCCCTGACTGTCCATTGACTGTCGGCATTGCACTCACCTGGCATGCCCTGGCCCGCCATACGTTGATTGTCTGCACTGTACACCCAACCTTACTCACATGCCAAGCCCTGGCCAGCCCGCCCGCCGTCCGCTGACTGTTGGAATTGTACACCCAACCTTACTCACCTGGCATGCCCTGGCCAGCCCGCCGTCTGCTGACTGTCTGCATTGTACACCCAACCTTACTCACATGGCATGCCCTGGCCAGCCCGCCGTCCGCTGACTGTTGGCATTGTACAACCAACCTTACTCACCTGGCATGCCCTGGTCAGCCCGCCGTCTGCTGACTGTCTGCATTGTACAACCAACCTTACTCACCTGGCATGCCCTGGCCAGACCGCCATATGTTGATTGTCTGCATTGTACAACCAACCTTACTCACATGCCAAGCCCTGGCCAGCCCGCCCGCCGTCTGCTGACTGTTGGCATTGTACACCCAACCTTACTCACCTGGCATGCCCTGGCCAGCCCGCCATCCGATGACTGTCTGCATTGTACAACCAACCTTACTCACCTGGCATGCCCTGGCCAGCCCGCCATCCGATGACTGTCTGCATTGTACAACCAACCTTACTCACATGGCATGCCCTGGCCAGCCCACCGTCCATTGACTGTCTGCACTGTACACCCAACCTTACTCACCTGGCATGCCCTGGCCAGCCCGCCGTCCATTGACTGTCTGCACTGTACACCCAACCTTACTCACCTGGCATGCCCTGGCCAGCCCGCCGTCCATTGACTGTCTGCACTGTACACCCAACCTTACTCACATGGCATGCCCTGGCCAGCCCGCCGTCCATTGACTGTCTGCACTGTACACCCAACCTTACTCACCTGGCATGCCCTGGCCAGCCCGCCGTCCATTGACTGTCTGCACTGTACACCCAACCTTACTCACCTGGCATGCCCTGGCCAGCCCGCCGTCCATTGACTGTCTGCACTGTACACCCAACCTTACTCACCTGGCATGCCCTGGCCAGCCCGCCATCCGATGACTGTCTGCATTGTACACCCAACCTTACTCACCTGGCATGCCTTGGCCAGCCCGCCGTCCAATGACTGTCTGCATTGTACACCCAACCTTACTCACCTGGCATGCCCTGGCCAGCCCGCCATCCATTGACTGTCTGCACTGTACACCCAACCTTACTCACCTGGCATGCCCTGGCCAGCCCGCCGTCCAATGACTGTCTGCATTGTACACCCAACCTTACTCACCTGGCATGCCCTGGCCAGCCCGCCGTCCGCTGACTGTCTGCATTATCCCAACACAATTGACTTGTGCCCAATCCTCTTTAGAAAGCCTTCTTACAAACCTTACTCACCTCGCATGCCCCAGCCCGCCGTCCGCTGACTGTCGGCATTATCCCAGCACACAGCTTTTGTTCATTGACTTGTAGCGTGTGTGTGTGGGAGATGGTTGAGGCAAATGCGTAGCATTCCTCCCTGGAGAGTAGGGGCATGGAGATGTAGGTTTGCTCAGGACGCAGGACCACTGCAGACATTAAAATCATTGAAATGTTGTATATGATGTAATTTAAGACAAATGGCACATAATAAATAAATAATTCTTTTGTTTAAGAGAGTCCAAGATAGTTGATGAGCTCCTTTTTTCAGTCTTTGTGTTTGAGGATCCAACCACAATTTCTGCATAGTTGATAGTGGGTATTAAGTTTGGATGAAGCTTTCAATTTTTTTGTAACACAGGCTAAAGAAAACAACCGGAACATACCCCACTTTGCTCCGTGCATCTGATTGTAACTGCATTTACTAGGGGTCTTCTTGGTTCATCACTAGCCTGGCCATTTGACTACTCAGAGAGTTCCCACCCATTTTTTCAGCATTACAGCCTAATGAGAAGTAGTTTGTGTAATATTGTGCACTAAATTCAAGATGATTGGATTCAACCTTTATAGAGATGATAACCTGCTTTGGACATAGCAGATCACATTTTGATTCTAATTTGAGAATTTGACATCTTAATTGCTTACATCGTGGTTTAATGCTTCCCCAGGTAGCCAAGTAGCACTCGCTCCCAGCACTAAACTGCATACCGCTCTGTGGAAGGCAAGCTGGCATCACAAACCCACTATCCCAGTCCAGCGACTGGGCCAACCTCAACATGGCAATGTCATAGTTATGAATCCGTCTCTCGGCTAGGTATCGCGGGTGGATGTAAAACGTCTCTACTGTCATGATCTGAACGTTCATGTTGGTTTTTACCGTCTGGTTTCTGACCGTGCTGCCTGCATGGATGGTGAAGTCACTGGCATTGAGTCGCTGCCAACCTTGTTCCCTGTACCTTTGAGTTATAGTAAAAGATTGAAAAATAACAATGATTATAACACCTCACCCACAGATTCTGTATCTTGATTGGCCAAAAGCGAGTAACATGGTATTTGCTATATTTGCTATCTTTCAGTTCAAGGCCAAAAGTACGGACTATTTATATTTGACTCAAAGTGAGTTTTAATTCCTAAGATTTCTTGCTATATCAATTTTGTGATGTTACTTTAGGACAGTATTTAACTGAAGACTTGGGGCAGTATTTGAAAGAAAATCGGTTTATTTTCCAACAATGGTTCCACTTTTCTTGAAAATGACAGCATACCATGATGGCATAATTTCACAGGATGCTGAAGTGAGGAATTACATAATAATTTGATTTTTTTTTTTAGTGTTTGCACTTTTTGTTGTATGTTATAAACATTTTTGTAAACAAAAGTAACATGGTCTATATTCCTTCTAGCACATCATGAACATTTAAAAAGTGAACAAAAATGTCCTGGAGATCTTGTCTGGATTATGAGCTGCTTACATGCAATGTGCAGCAGTCACGACCCAGTCACTAGCAATCACCACTCCACCACACCTGTACCTCCCTTTATACTCCAGCGCCACCTGCCAGGGCCATTGGCCCTCAGAGGATAGATCACCATTCACGATCCGCTTCCTTCTCTTGGTGGCCTGATATGCTGGCCTGGTGCCGCACTGGGCTGGTAATATGCCCTCCAGGGTGACCGGGATGTTAGACTCTGAAGGAATGAAGTAAAAAAAAAAGGAAGGGGCTAAAATGTCTTCTTTTAAACTGATGATGTTCCTATTCTGACATAACACCAATAGTGTATTGTTCCTATTCTGACATAACACCAATAGTGTATTGTTCCTATTCTGACATAACACCAATAGTGTATTGTTCCTATTCTGACATAACACCAATAGTGTGTTGTTCCTATTCTGACATAACACCAATAGTGTATTGTTCCTATTCTGACATAACACCAATAGTGTATTGTTCCTATTCTGACATTCGATAGACCTTGCTAAGCAGCAAACACTAGCTGCCTGACATGATTTCAGGATGAAGTGCATGCACGACGTTGATTGGCAAATAAAATCTGATGAGGTGACAAATTGGTATGTTTAGGAAGTTTGTTAACACAGAGCGTCAGTTGCCTGATGCATATCAATCATACATTTGTATACATTAAGTGATTTAAAAAGAAAGATCAAAGTCTTTTTTTTTTCTTAGGTCCTGTAACAGATAAAGATGACTGCGTCAACTTGTTTGAGAGTTGCACGCCAGTCAATCAGAAGTACAAGTCATTTACAATTTAATGTAAGAAAGTATGTAATTGACCAAGCTTCATTTTTTTTGTTGAATTTGTGTTTTTGAGAGGCCATTCCTTCTTAAGGATTGCAGTGTGTTCACTTGTGTTTGCTCAAACGTTTGGGTCTTATGGTCGTCTTATCCTTCCACAAACATGTTTGCAGACTATAACGATCAGCCCACGAGGCGCTATAAAGTTCGACTGTACAAATGGTGACTGGTCTCCAAATGAAAACAAAGTCAGGATTTCTCAGCACATGCGCTCAAACTTGGAAAAACAGGGGGATTAGGAGAATGTGCAGGATATACGAAGTGTTGAGAGAATTCCCTTGACTTTTAAGTTGATGGTGAAAAAGTTTGTAAGCAACGAAAGACAACAGGCCAAGATATAGCCCCATAATGTGGCTCAAATGCTCAACTTCCTCCGTATTGTGTACCAGACAGTCTGGGGAAAAGATGACTTTTAGGAAATCGAAATTGGCAAATCGAAAGTTTTCCTTTTATCAATATACCATGGAAAATACTTACCTGGTAACAACCAGGGAAAATCAATTATACAGGAGAATAAACACCTATATACAGAAAAAGAATTCATTTTTTTCCTGGCTATTAACCATTAGGTAAATATCTTCTGTGGTGAATATCAAGTGAATAGAAAAAAATAGTGCCGATTTCGATTTTGTCACACTGCACGGAATATATAGCTTGTCACTTGATTTGAGACTGGATAGTTCGTGATAGACTTGTAATGACTTGAATACAACATAATCATGTTCATTAATTATGAACACTGTTGGTATGTGTAAAGTTGGAAAGAGTTGAGTGATAATACGCAACACTGACTAAACGTGATTTGTACTCGAATGTAAATGACATAAAAGTGCGGTGAACCTACCCGGAAACTGAATACTTGAATTCAGGCTTTTGCTCGGCTGTGAAAATAAAGCTGAGGAGATGTAAAACATTAATATAAATTCCATAAATCAATATTTGACATAATCCATTGCCATTATAATTTTACTGGTTAGGAATAAAGTAACGAGCCGTTAGTTTTCATGTGAAGTGTGTGACCATTTAGGATTTTTTGTCAATTTATATAGAGCTTGTAAGTTCAGCATACTCATTTCGAGTTAAAGGTCACAAAAAGGCATGGATCTCAAAAAAGTATAGCATTTATTGAATCAAGTTGGCATCTTTCGGAAATATCCTGATCGAGTTTGTCTCCATGGAAATCCCCCCTTTGAATCCAGTTTCTTTGATTTATAGCTTTTCTATATCGTTTAAAGATATATTAGATTTTTCGTTTGAAGCAATAAACTTGCTAAAAATACTTGAGTAAGGTGCATACCAAATAACCGGTTGAAGTTCTAGTTCAGTGCTAAACGTTTCGCCCAAATGAGAAAGCACATGCACAAGTTTGTGGTTGTCGTATAATTTTGTTGCTAGCGCAAAAAAAATGTGCCGGCGATCGAGAGCACGCTATTTGAAACCAACTTAAATGTTTGTATTCTTCAGAACGATATAATTTCAGGCGAAATAATTTAACAGGGTATTTAATGCGACTCCAATCTCCAGGTTTCTGTCATTAAATCGAGACGTGTCTTTCAGGGTAAATCAACCTGTCTCCACGTTCAAAAATTGTGATTTATAGACCCTTTTATTTAATATGCAAGACCAAATCTGGAACAAAATCGAACAAAAAACCCCCACAATTTGATCAGCTTACCATTGAAAATCAGAACTATGGCAATGACGGCCAAGATACATAAGAAGGCAGCACAGACCATGGGCTTGATGTGATTCTGTTGCCGTAGTGACACCACCAGGGTTTTATGAGCTGGGATCCGCCAGGAGGTCCCGTTGACTAGTGGAGGAGGCGTGTACACCACCCCGCCTTCATCCTCCGCGCTGGGTTGAGGGGGAGCTACGCTCACTAGGTAGTTGTCGTATAACTCCGTTTCTGGCATGGTGGGATACTGTATATTATAGGCGTCAATTATTATACCATTAGAAGTGGTATACGCATAATCACACAAAGTGGTGATAATTATAACCACATGAAGTTACTTTTCACGAACCGCATACATATCCCGTACACTTGTAATTGTCTCTATATTAACGACACACTGCGGACGAATACATTATGGTAAGTTATGCCCAACCTCAAACCACATTTTGATTGGCTGTTACAGGATTACAATAATGTGGAATCAATGTGCAGTTGCTTGAGATTTAAAGACGCGGCATCTCGAACCTGCTGGAGAGAGACATGAGGGATGAGCTAAAGTTACACCAACTTCCACTGCATCCCCAAAGTTATAAGTTAGAGGCATGGGATCCCCATTTCCTGCAGTATGGAGAAGGCACTCAATTATTTGGTATACATTTTAATACTTACAATGCGCTTTTGTTTTTCTTTGTCAAATTCGGAGAATAGTGGTATCAATTTGGGCATTTGCAAAAGCGGGGGCCTAATAGATAAATAAGTTACTGGAAACAATAGGATGTTCTTATTTTATTAGAGTACAATCATCCTGTAGTGAAGACAATCCATACTGCAAACAATGTGAAAGTAATGTTAATTACACATGTACACATTTGCCACTGATTCAAATAGCGGCGTTTTCGATAGTATATACCGTCGTGCATGCTTGCCTGAGGTTGACAAGACTTAACTTGGAGAATATGCTTAATTTTGCACCAACCGTCTCCAGTTATCTGACACACCCTTCCGTGCACGGTTATTTTATTTCTAGAACTTAGAATCGAATTGGGCTTGAATTGGTAGAGATACTTTAGACAGCAAAATGAAGGAATGTGTTATTTTTGACGCCACTTTTGTGGTCGCCTATACAAAGTCTTTGGGCGAGTCATGACATTGTCAGGTAAAGTCAAACAAAATATGAATTTATCTCAGTCCCAACTTAACAGTTTTTATAGCATATTTTTTTTGCATCCTACTATATACGGTTGAGTAAAACAAAAGTGTCGGGACGCCCAGCCACAATACAGTTAACTTGTCATGGCACTTCATTATGGGGTCGCATTCAACCGTTTCAGTACTGGTGTGATGTGGGATCGAAGCTTTTGACTTTTAGTCTTTCTTTTTACGGGGGGAAATTTTTGGTCGAACGGGGGATTCTGAAATACAAAAGAACACAACAGGATTTTATAAAATTTAACAAACTGAACACAAATTGCAATGATGTTCAACACTCACCGTTCGATGTAATCTGCTGTTGAAGTAACTGTCCTCCCCTCAGGGGCACTCGGGTTTTTGTCTCTTCACCAAACTTCAGAATGACAAATTCGCACTTGAAATCTTACTCGAGACCGTCACGGGTATGGATTTCCCGTCCGCAAACCATCGCAATTAAGCCGACCGCCAGCGGTGTTACGGGAATTGTCCGCCGTTAGTTCCATCTATTTTCCGGCGCTGGATGGGCAACCTTGGATGGTAAATCTTCTTGGAAATCAAATTTTCAGTCAATTTTTTTTTTATTAAAATGCAAACCTGCAGGTTCCCTGTAAGTCCGGCTCGTTATTGTGTATTCAGTTATCGAGTGCGTATTGAGTCTGGTGAATTGTTCGATCGGAAAGAGCTCAACATCACGTTTCGAAAGCTGAAGCAAAAGGCAAACTTGCGGGAAGAAAGCTATAGGGTCACTCTCAAATCTATGGAACGTAAATTCAGGCCCAAAAGATTCGGATGGGGCTCATGTTGTTCACACTTTTGAGCTTGATAATCCATTGGGAAAACACAGAATAATGGCTGTTCTTTTTTTGTTAATTAACAGAGAATGTTTAATTTTTTTATGCCGGACCATAGATGCATCAACTGTGTTAAGTTGAAAACGACTCACATCTACCTTGTCTTCATACTGGCCGCGTTGTATTTTTCAAAGCATTTCACGCGAAGTACGAAAGACATGTCAATACAATGCCTGGTGTTTATTTGGTATGCCTGCCAAACGCTCCATGTCTATAACACAATCACTGCAATAAACGCCACATGCAGGAAAATGAAGTTGTTGATGCCGAGTCCTTTGGAGAGATTACACAAACAAGTTATCCAGAAATTGCCGACTGTTGTTGAGGTTCAGCTAGACCTCCTCAGACGCAACACACACCAATGCTCCAAAGTGAATGTCGCTCATAGAGCGAAACCAGATCTTCGTAGAGAGTTTCACAATCATGACGCACGCACTCCCCTGTCTCGCCAGGTATAGCATCCCATCGCACCTGTGGAAAGTTGTCCCACTCAATTTCACCGGTCACCTCGGAATTCCCAGCATATAGCTGTGCCAATTTATCAGGTCTCTTCAGTGAACACAACACTCCGTGCCCGACTTACGCTGACGGAAGTAGGGCCTTATAGACGTACACGGGGCTAGCGGTGCGCGCGGACTGTGGACCGGCTTTTGTTGGTTCCCGTCCCGTAATCACCGTTTTATTTCCTGACACTTGACGGCACAGCCGGTGATCAACTATTCTTCGTTTTCCGTTTTGTCTGTCGATTTTTGCTGTGAGTTTTGGAACTATTAATATTCACGGCAGTTGGCGCGATCAAATACTCTCTGCACTTGGATGTAATTATTCAACCCCTGCAACGGGTACTGTGACATTGTTCCTATGACTGTTATCAATCTGGGCGGGCGGTACTATGGTCACAATAACGCAATGTCATCACAATAACACAGTCTTCCAATGTTCAGCCTGCGTGAGTGCGTCGGATAGAGCACAAGCCGCAACTGCCAGTATCGTTCTCAATAATGAAGAGATGTAAGATGATTGCTAAGTGTTAAGAATTTTTACCACGGTCTGAAAGGTGTCTAATTCATCGCGAGAGTGGGCTCTTTGAAAATGTTGAATTTGTTACCACTTTTTGGAAACGGAATGTGGCACATTAAGGGCATAATAACGAGCCACAAATCCCCTCTCCTCCCCTATGCACAGAATCATATGACACATAATTTTTATACATGAAAATATACTTTGCGAACAATGACGAAAAAGGGGGCGGAGCTAGCTTTCAGTAAAGGGGGGGGGGCTGACAATATTTCGCTTTGAAACTCAGACAAATTCTTCCTTTTGTCAAATGCAATAAATTGGTCGGCAAACTCAATATCGATTTTTGTCACTTCGTGAAAACATCGACGAAAATGAAGGGAATGAAGGCGTGCCAAGTTACGCCCCGCAAGGGATTCCGGGACATGCTTTCTTCTGACGATGCTTTCTTCTGCATTCTAAAGCAATTTGAGAATATGAAATCAAGGAACTTAAGCATTCCATTAGATACGAGCTAGTTTACTGCCCAAGTAACCTCCCCCTCCAACCCCTCCCCCCCCCGGGCCCCCTCTAGATCCGCTACTGCCATACACCATCCCGGCCCTTTACCAAAGTTATTACCATGCGTAAAACCGGCTCAGTTTGGATAGCTTATAATGAAAATGCAAATGGTAAAATGCAATTAGGCCTACATCCAGGGCAGCGAGATGACCCTGGATTTGACCAGAGCGTCTAGGCTAGCCAGAGCATACCCAGGGCTAGAGATAGCACAATCAAAATACACGTTGATAATGAATGAAGGAATAACGGGATGGGCTGCAAGCGAAAACCGTCTTTTATTCTGCGTTGTTTAAAATTACAGAGTTGAAACAAGTCATTCACAAGTCACATTAAAGTCCTTTTAAATAATTCAATAGAAGTGTGCAATCATGACTTGTGATTGATTTGATGATTTGATTACAACAGGCGGTGCTGATAAATCTCAATTGCCCCGTATTAAGAGACAAAGTAACGGCCTACACGTGCAGCTTCGGCCACGTGACCTGGAATATAACGTGCAAGGACTAATTTCAAATTTGCACTGAAGCCAATAAATTCTTGCACGTGCAAATTGGGTACGGGAATACTCTGGTGCCTGGCCATGCTTTGAGTGTTCAATTTTGTATGCAGTGTCTGTGGTAAAAACAGAATCAATTCGTCGAGGATGTGAGATCCGCGTGAATGCTTAGCCGCTAATTTGAAATTCATGTACAATGTACTTCCGTATCTCGAGAAAGTGACGCAGTCGGATTTGATTCCGTATCGAGCAATTTTTGACTAGACGCGAGACCAGCGCCGTAACATGGGGGTTGGGGCACGCCCAGGTTAATATGTAAAAATATCTTCGCATTTAAATACCGACACTGTAGCCAAACACGTTGGGTGATCCATCCAGAAAACGAGGACCTTAAAGGTCCCGTCATGCATATTGGGCGGCCAGTGGTCAGGGACAGTCCAAGGCCCAGTCTAGACTTGACAGTGAGGTATGAGGCTCTCGTCAAATCCAATTCCAACAGCGCAATACTACATATACCAATTACTTTAATTTCCGAGATTAACGGAAACGGCGTATCCGGACTACGACGCGCTCCCCTCCAGGCCAGACCTGTTTGCCTTGTGGGCCTCCCGGTGATACTGATAATACTGCCCCAAATATTGCATGCCACATGCAGTGAGAAAATACATAGATCCGGAGCAGCACACTCAGCATAGGCCTACATTAAATATACGCGAGCAATTTATTTCCATCGCTGAAGCGTCATGCAAGCATGGTGCAAGTAATGCAGAGTGTTAAAAGATAGTAACCATCGACGAATCAGGTACACACGTACACCGGTAACACATTGTGCATTTTATTAAGAGACATTTTATCAAGAGACTGGTTCCCAGCCGGCCTTTGGATTGTCGTTTTAACGTCATCATTCCAACTTTTCACAAGAGGAAATGTTTCTAACGGACATGCCAACTAGTTTGTTTGAATCTGTACGTCAGTAATTCAGATTCGAACTCGAATCTCGAATCTCTCGACTGGCAGTCAGAATTTGAGCCATGTGTCTTGAGTCTTGACTAGACTTGAACTCGAGTCAAGTGACCCGAGAAGAGATTCTAATTATTAAGCGACTTTGGACCCGGTTCGGAGACTGACTCGATATAGTCAAGTGAAGAAAAGTGACTCAAGTGAAGTGGACTGGAGTCAAGTGACTCGAGTTTTAGACTCGAGTCAATTATTGAACAAAGGTTGGGGTTGCGGATTTACCGCATGGAAACCATCTCTTCCTTGAAACATAACTCTTGCCGACGTACTTTGACAGGCCTACTGTTCTTTCTCAGGAAAAAAAAGAAGTATTGCCCAGGCTCTGCTGTTCAAATATAAAAAAAATAGGTTGATTTTTCGTGCTTTAAACATGGTGAGGAAAATAATCGTTTTCCAGATGACATGGAAGCTGCACGCGCATTTGGGAAACATCAATAATTGCTTGTCAAATTTTCTTTTCGCACGGATGACGTCATTTTCCCTCGCCTTAAAGCATACTTGCCAGTCACGACATCGCGTGACTTGCCAAGCAAAGATCGGATTTAGGTTGCTATTTCTTCTCCACCGATGTCGAGTGCCTCGAGTCAAGGACTTCGTTTTTTTCACTACACGGCGCTCCTGGCCGTTGTTATAGAAACCTTATAATAATACACAATTTCAATTACATGTGATATGCGCTGATTGTCCGCCAGAAATTACACCGAGCTTTACTGAGTCGCCGTGCTTCCGCTTTTTATTACTTCTCTTTTGTTAATGTAAAAGCCCTGATTACTTATTCTTCCGAGATAAACGCATCTCCATTCTATATTTTTTTACAAAAAAAGTAATTAAGTCAGAAATCTTTGATGGACAGTAATCTAACGGCCGTTAAAATAAGAATGAGCTACAACGATAATGAAATGGCTTACCAATAGTGAAACGGCATGCCCGACGTAAAACTCGCAATGAGATAAGACTTCACGAGAGACCATAATTTACGGGCCCTGGACCAAGAACAATGAAATATTTTCAGTCCTTTCTCTTTCACTGTTCAGTTAGTCATTTTCAAATCAGATCTGCAGTAAAATCCTCACAAATCAATGACAAAGACTAGTAGCTGTTTTAAGTCAATTCACCTCCAAAAACGAACAGCAAAGAGGCGTATAACTATCTGAGTATAAAGTAAAAACATTTGAACCTGTCCTTGGAATATTTACGGAGAACGATCAGAATGCAAATTTCCAGGCGTTCAAGCCACCAGGGCCCACTGGCATTAGCATGCTGCGCACGCTAACTTCCGTCTTCTAAATTCCCATGAAAATATTTGTCTACGCCGCTGGCCGTTATAGTTCGGATTAAAGCTAACCAACACGAAGCTTCTGAACCCATAAGCCTTATCGATTCACGCATTGCTTTTTTCTCCACTCGACTAGAGGTAATACACTCTTTACACAATCGCCCTCCCCTTGACACGCTGTATGACAATCATTTCTCGTTTTATAAGAACGCAACGCGCCTCGGGCTAATAACAATAATTGAATTAAATCATATTTGTAACCACTGGCCGAGACCACTACAACAAGTTTATATATCTACAGACATTCGTGATTTCTACGGCACTTTGGAACCGAGAGTCGAACCCTCACCATTTCAAAAAGGCACTTGTGATTGGTCATAACGTTTGCAGAAAGTAAATATTAAATTAGCATTGAAACCGAGGGAGCCAGTGCTCTTTCTTGGTGAAGATAAAATAAAGAAATTGACTGGGTGGAGTTTGAACCTCCGATCTCCAGAACACCGTTCCAGTGCGGTTCCCCATTTTCTCAATGCCATGGTTCGGGCACGCTAGTCAGAAGAATTAAACATCGGCCAAGTTTCATGATAATCGATCGCTAGGCATGATGTACTATCGCAACCTACCCTCTTGACCAGCCTGTTTTTTTGTTTTTTTAAGAAATATGTATTAGGAACCCTTACAAGTCATGAAACCGCGGTTGTCATCTCAAGATCATAACGCAATCTGGTTTGATGGGGAAAAAAGTCAACTTTGATTAAAAAAAATACCCAAGTATGAAAGAGGGGCTAACACGTCTCTTGTCGGCTGGTTCTGCATCACTGGGTGATATTCTCTAGTGACAGACAAGATTCAATTTGGAGGTGATACCTCAGGCAAGCATGTTCCAGGTGATGGCTCTTGAGATAGGTCCTTGTGTATGCCATGAATACAAATAAAATTGTGAGGAGATGGAGACGCGTTGAAAGACTTATACATCACCGAAATGTCTATTGAAATTGTCTTAGACTGTAAATGCATCATCTCAACCAATGTCGTCATGTTATGACAATATATAACATTTAGCTTACCCGAATGCAAATAAATATCATTCGGAAAACATTCGCTTAATACTTACAGTATATGATGAAAGGTGACATTGTCTTATACTATTTGCAAAATGTACCCTCTCAAAGGAATGTTTCCAGATAAAAAAGGCTTTACAAATTTCAATGAACTTCTCTCTTCAGTGCGTGAGATTTTTGACCGCCATTCTTTAGTTCAATGTAAAAGTACGTGTCAAGAGTACGATCCACTAGAAAACATAAGTGAGATTGTTCACTGTCATCCAGAAGGTTCATGTGCGTTGATGGTATATGTTAATTATGAATGCAACTCGTAATCGAAATGAAGAATGTTCGTGCCCATCGCAGCCGTGCAAAGGAACGCTTGCTTGACATCCAGTTTTGTCTTATCGAGCATTATACATGTTTTGGAATTGTTGAGGAAAAGTTAGAATTTCATGCAACACTGCATTCGTAATTCTGATATTTTCTATTTATTTATCAATCTCTTATTTTAACTGTGCAAATCTTTTACTGAAATCCACTGGTGTCCATGGGGCCCGAGTAAATACAAGACAATGCGAAGTAATTAGAGTTTTAGACGTGAGAGGAAAACCTCAGAAGAATATTATAAGGAAAGCCCACGGAATCAGGTAGGGACTGAAAATCTTGGAATCGAACCCGGGTCACAGCGGTGGAAGGCGAGGAAAGTGGCCAAGATTGCTACGAAAGGAACAATACTCGTCAATGGTGAATAAAGAAATGAGTACCGCATGGTAAGAGCGGGAAAAGAATGTATGTGCCCAGCTTTAATAGGATTAGCAGAATTCGAATAAAAAAATGAAACTAAGGCCAAAAAAAAAAAAATAAGTCGGTCTCTGGTCAGCGCGCGCGTCGATTTTAATCATGCGCGTCGATCTTTTTTTTTCCAAAATGTTCCGCGGTAGCTTCAACAGCGCCCTCTATTTCCGCACCTCCTCAATATTTTTTACCAAAGAGCACCAAGGAATGGGAAATTGCACCAAGGCAAATGATCGAAAGCACCAAGGCAAATTATGGAGGACACCAATGTACATGAGGACACCAAAAAAGCAAAATAGTACCCCACCTTGTCTTGTACAATCCAAGCTTGAAGAAAAAAAAAAAAGCCAAAAAAAAAAAAAAAAGCCGCGTGGCCGCGTCAATTCCGGAACTTTGGTCTGACCAGAGACCGAATATTTTTTTTTTGGCCTAACATACATTCCACTCGTAAGGTGCATGTACTTTGTACATAGATACAAATGGGTCAGGACAACAGGCCACATGATGACTATACCTGCAGGAGTTAAATTGTGACTTGCTGACCTTTGATTCTCGCGCCGCAGGTTGGATCACTACACACAGCACACCTGTCATCGTGCATTTGATAGAAGAGGTACCGAGTTGTAAAGATAAATATGACTTCACAGTGAAAGAAAGAATCAAACAAATCTCACCAACGTTATACTGCAGATTCAGAATTGAGATTGATAGAAAACATGCGAAATTCACAGGTTTGAACACTTGAAAGGCGACATGGAAGCCGCCTTCCAACACTCTTGAGAATGTTTATTTACATTTCTCGGATAAATTCCAAACTCACCAATTAAATATCTTTAGCGCGGAGAGTAACACGCCGAAGGGCAATTATGTTTGGTAGCAGTATTTCAAAGTAGCTTTAAAAAGTCAAGACTGACGTAAACACATTCGGAATGGGCCCCAAGCTTTGTGTCAATAACTTGTCCTCATAAAAAAGGAACGAATTACGATCAGGTATAAACATTCAAACGTGCGTGCCCATTCCTTGGAATGAGAAAGTAGGCATGAAGTAATGTCGGCCTGCTGAGTTCCGGTGGGCATTAGTCAGGTACAGCAGTGGTAATATTAAAGGGATAATATCAAGTACACAAAACCATATTAATGCTTAGGCCTACATGCAATAACGATTCATAAACTTTTCAGAACAGTTTTCATCTTACATCTGCTACATGTTTTCATTTTTTTTTCAATTATGGTACATTTTTTACTATTTCCTAGATCCTCGCGGGTCGAACTAAACCCTTCCGACGAAAACAATATCTGTGTATAATCTCCGGAGAGCATTTCAAGTCATCATGCATGTCAACCTGCGAAAATGGATGAAAGCACAGGTAAAAATCGATAAACTGCGTTTACCTTCTCAGAAATCTGACTCAAAACATAGAAATCATGAAATGGAATGTCTCGCACAGACCTTAGATAACCTGTCCCTTGTTACTTGCACTCCTCCTGGGTCGCTTCAGACGATCACTCCTCAGGAAGCTCTGTATCCGGTAAATCTGACTGGCAACCTCCGTCTTGATATCCGTCTGGTCATCGTCGTCTGAGAAGAGCAACGGCTTATCGTCATTGTCGTCGTCACGGGAGGACGAGGGTCTTTTCGATCCAACTGACGGAAACACTTCGGCAGGAGTTGAAGTCCTTTTGGGAGTCGATTTCACTCGAAGTAATGCTGAGTAGTCGATATTCTGGAGGATAATGATCGCATAATTACTATTTAAATATAGGTAATGGACATTATTGCCAAAAATAAGTATTTTTTTGCCGATTTAAGGAACAACAATGCAATAAATATGACGTTGGTTATTACAGAAATTGCCTGGACGAAATTTCAGCTCAGTAGATATACGTTTTGAGAAATTGTGCAAATGGCATCGTCATTTTTCTCAACGCAAAGCAAGGTTTTTGTTGAAAGCTCTCCCTATCAAAATGTAAGCAATCGGAAAACTTAAACAAATTCGATCATTTCCGGGCAGCGTTTGAAAAAAAAATATAGCCTTTTAAGAAATGATATGTATTCCTCTTTTCCTGAAAAATGAAAATATGCTTTGCACAATGATTTCCTAGGATGCTTGATCCCATTATTTACTCACAATCAAATAGAATATTTCATAAGATTTTGACAATTTTATTTTTAAACATTTGTGAACGGTGTCCATTACCTTTAAGATTAGCAAATGCCACTGCTGTCGTTTAGTAAGGCGTATTTTATTTATACATATACCGCAATGCAAACCTGATACCGCTCTCCGTAATATCTTTTGACATACTTTTCTTTTTAATTACGTTTTTTTAATGTGGGTTTAAGAACTTAAATCAGTCCTGTTATATTCTTTGATGTCCTCTCGGCGTCACAATGTCCTACACGGAATCCTGCACAGTTCAATCAATGTTCACAAGGCACCGGTGTTTTCATTAAGGCTGCGCGTTTCCGTTATTTCTTAAAATGGATGTAAATTTCGTTACAATAATTACTCACACACATTATATTGGAACTTATACCTTAATAATATTACAAATTCAAATAAAAGGTATACACATTGTGTTCTTGTTAACATATAGGCACTGCATGCACGGCAACACTTTTATTGAATACGGTATTCTTACAGGTCTTCATAAAAAATCCAGAGTTTCAAAAATGACATCCAGGGTACAGACACTCATCCAGGGTATAGTTGCTCCTGCCCCGTGAATCAATATTTCCCACTAGCAACCCATGTACCCGGCTGGCCGGCTATCCTCCCCTCAAGTACCATTCACCCACCCCCTCCACATGACCTAGCCTCGTTCTGACCAGATTCTAATAGAGTCGATGAAACCTAGAGAATGAATTGTGGTCATGCGCAACCTAAGTGTGTGCGGATAACTTCAGAATCAGTGATGGGTAGAAGACTTGAAAGCAGCAATAGCTCCCAACTTACTTTCAACAAAGAACCTTTCACACAGGCCTATGTGCTCAACTGTCCCATGGTTCTAATATTATGAAAACATGACAATTTGGTAAAGGCTAAATTCAAATAAATTATATTATTACCCTCAAAGCAATATGCCTCTCGGGCATTTGGGTGCCATTTAAAAAAAATCAACAGCATCGCATACATTATGAATTAAGGCTGTGAGCTGGGGCTTCATGCCTTGAGTTTGTGTGGGAGAGCACAGCGTGTTCTAGTGGCAATTTGCAGTCACCATGACAGTCTGGAGCGCAGCGAAGCCTACAAAGTCGCACCAGGGCCCTTTTTTAATATTGAACTCAGTATCGGCTTGGATACTCTCATGAAAGCTTTTTATGGTTTACAGACCAGTACATGGTGACCCAGTTCTCAGTTCAGCTCTTAAAAATTGTCTGTCACTGTCTGTAAGCATGGAGCTGTTCCTAGCTCCATGCTGTAAGCAAGGCGTGTTTTATGACCATAATCAACCCTTAGTGGGGATGAGGATGATAAATCCTTAGTTTCCTGAATACATTCCTTTACTCTTTTGCCTTTTAAATTGAGGTGATTTTGATGATTTTATCACAACAAAAATAAGGAATTGCTTTTTATGCACAAAATTCAGTAGGGCTGATCCTATGGCACAAGTCAAAATCTTGGGGCACATCCGTCCTCCATCCCAGATTTATGCAAAAACTCTGATGATGAGGGGCTTTACATGGCTTAGAAACATTTAATGCAATTTTACAGAAATTATAGGCCACAGAAACTTACCAACGGAACAGAGCTGGGTCCTGATGCTGACTCGAACTCCTCAGCAAAATTTGGCCACTCCTGACTGCCTTCTGTCTCTTTCGTTGACGAACACTTGCCAGAGGGATTGCTGCGATCCTGGTATTTTGCTGGAAGTAGAATTTCGTTCATACTAATGTCAGTAGATTCTGGGATGTTGTCTGTCTTTCCAGGCAAGGTGTTTCTGGGAGGCATGTTGGATGGTAGCTTGGTTTGGGGAGTGACTCCATATCGTGGCTGGGCAGCAAGCAGAGGGAAACCAGGGAGGACATAGGACGACCTTGTCCCAAATTTCGAAGCTTCATTCAAATAACTTGTTGGAGGAGACTGAATCTTAGATGCTTGGTCAAAGATCGAAGTACGTTTAGATGTAAGAGGATTTGTGATATTAACTCTACCAAGGTTTGTGACAGGTTGCCTGCGAGTCACGTCTTGAGAGACTTGCCTGCGTTTGATGCTTGTTTGCTGCAAAGGCTGGTCTTCTGTCTGCTGCATAATCTCATTAGCATCTTCTGATTTTGTGAGGATTTTCTCATCCAAACCTTGTTGGGTAATGTCCTTCTCTTTAGGTTGATTATGTAGGACATTTGATGAATCGTCCAGCCCACCTTGGTGACTGTTGTCTTCTGGCGATAATTTCTGCGTTGATGCTTTCGGAAGCACTACTTGATTAACTTCTAAGTCTGGTAGATTAGTTGGCATTTTGGTCGAATCTACTATGTTGACCGCCTTTAAAGCTTCATCAGTGCGTATTTCGGTCTTGTTAGCCTCATGTGGGCAAACTTGAGAAACTCCCTCTTGTGAAACACCTGTGTTCGTGATTATCTCTTGACTTGCTACACTCGTGTTGGCCTCAAGTGCAGCTATTACGGTGTTGTCCGAAAGCTGAAGTTCCTTTTTGTTGGAATTGCCACAAGGCATTTCAGGATTCTGCATACTCGTTTCTGTTTCATTGTGACTTTCTTGTTTAGCAGCAACTTCTATCACTCTCCCTGCATTTAATTCAAGTTTTGGTTCTGAACCAATGCCTGTGGTTAACTTAGCATCTGAAGGTGAGATCTCTGCTGCTTCCATATGAGTGTCTGGATTGTCGTGTATCAGTAGAACTTCCCCAATAATTGATTGTTTGCCTTCTGATTGACTGGGGCTTGGTGCATCATCCTTGATGGAAATAGTTAATTCCAGTTGCCCACACTGTGCAGAGGATGGAACCCGCTCTGTTGTGGATGTTTCAATTTGCATATTGACTTGATCACAGCTTGTGTCCTCAGGTGTCTTGCTGACCTCATTATCGGCATTTTTCGGCAGATCCCCGTTATCAGCTGTATCGACGTCTTTCAACTCTTGTGTTGCTACTGTTTCATTATCTGCTTTGTCAGGTTCCTCTGGAGTTGATTTTTGTTCAGCAGTTTCCTTTTCTTGCCACAGCTTCGGGTCGGTATTTGTGCTTTTGGTCTCCTTAGTTTCTTCTTTTATTTCAAATTTGCTTATCTTCTCCTGAAACAAAAAATAATTTGGTTTAATGTATTCGGTGCACAGTTTATTATTTTGGGATTCATTAATGAATTTAACCATAGTTCTTCAATTTGTGAGAAACAATGGACCAGAAATGTCACACAAGCTAATCTCACTGGGCTATTCCAATCCATAATCACAGAGACCTAATGAGCATTTTCTTCTCATCGCTTTATTTCAGGAATCACTTTTACAATCTTGACCTAAAAACAAGGCATACCTTGAGTTCTCTGATGATTTCACCCATTTCACTATTTTTTTTTGACCAGCTTATGTTCAGCCCTTCAAGAGTTTCCTGAGCTTCCAGAAGTGACTTGTTCTCCTGTAGTTGACTTGATAATTGCATTCTCAATGATTCCTCCTACAATGTATCAATGGCAAAACACGGTGGCATAAATTATGTAGAAAAACAAATTAAAGACACTTGAAACAATGGCCAAAAAATGCAGCTATTATGTGAAATATATATATATTATCTATCAGTGGACTGCCCATTCCGAAGTAAAGATCTAAATATTGGGAATTGATTATGTAAAGCTGTAAGTTTAGAAGGGAAATATATATACATTTGTAGATGGTGTGTCTTAACTATTTCAATCGGAATACAATGATTAAAACCTATGAGGTTTTCTATGCCACCTTGTTTCTCAAAATTTCATATCTTAAGACAAACCTGAATTTGAAGCTTGGTGGTCAAGTCCTCATTTCTCAGATGCTCTGTTTGTATCTCTCTTTCCTTTGTACACAGGTCATCCTTGAGTTGACAAAGCTCACTTTCAAGCTTCTTGACATCCATGGCCAAGGAAGAGGCACGATCCGCATTTTGGTTACTTGAGGCTAGGTGTCTCTGGGAAAGCTGCTGGGACCTTGCCAAAGACTCCAGCAAGTTCTGGAAGATGAGACAGCATGGTTGAACTTAGGGATTACAAGTCAAAATGCTCACAAAAATGGATTCATTTCCGCCCCCCCCTAATGTTACTTGAGACCCATGCCTATCACTGCAGAAACACACCACAGTACAATTCTACTAAATGTATATTAACATTACCGATCAAAAATAATCAAAATACCAACAGTCCCAAATTAGGTGACCTGTTTTTCAAATGAACTGTTGTAATAAGTAACAAAGATGTTTTTTTGTATCCCCCGTTACTTGAGTCCCTACTTCTAAGCTGACTCACATTACCTGGTTTGCTGATCTTGCCTCCTCAAGATGTTCTGACAGTTGTTTACAAGTGTTTTCTTTCTGTATTAAGAAATATGGAAACGAGTAATAAGTCATAAGAAATAGAACATAATGTTTAGAATATCCTGTAACAGGTAATGAAGAAATGTATTAACAATTAATGAAAAGATTTGAGATTTGTTCCTGATTTCATCCTCCTTGATTTTGTTGACTTCCCTCTGTTCATTAAATGCCAATATCTTTTTGTGCAAAGCATCTGA